CATAATTAATAGTGCTTAATATGAATTCACAGTGACAATATCTTTTTAGAATGAGAGTATAATCTGCAGGAAATTTATTTTTGAATGATTTACACTGCAAAAGTAAACTATTTCATTCGTTCGGTCGTCGTATCATGTCTATCACATGTTGAAATTATGTAATCTCAAAACTTCGCTTCTCTTGAAACACTTTTATAAACTATATTGCTCTTCTCAATAAATATGCAAATAAGTCTCATGTTTCCCATGTCGTATTTTCGATCATACCAGAATTTTTTGCATTCTATTTGTGTTACAGTTCCGTGACGAAATATATCTCAGACTGAAAGACAATATCGTGCATCAGTCGGAATTAGCACATTGGTCACAATTCAAGTGACCGTGAAAACATTTTTGTATACGGCAACATTCCAACGTCAACTCTTAGAGGCGAAACTGTTTTTAGTAAACTAGAGTCCCATGAAATCAACTACGTACGCTCTCGACCCACAAGGTATGGATGAAGCAATCGCTCTGAGTGTTTTGTTCTTTTCACTCCGACACACACGCATATTTCAATCTGCATTCTGAAACCTTGAATTCAGGTGCCCGTCTTACAGTAGTATGGTGTGGTGGAACAGAGTTTTCGAAAGCATCTTTGGGCTCCTTATTCATTTTAGTACCATCTACCCCTTTCCAAATAAAAACCTGTATTAATTAACACACTTTTCTTTTCTGTGTAAGTAGTGGAAGTGCCATCCCAACATCAGTATCAAATTTTACATTACTATTCAAAATTGCTCCCTATTCTTCACCAAAATAATTTGATGAGTGGCATTATCCCATATCTATTAACCTTAGTTGATTCGTCCGAATCATCATTATGTATAAAGAAGAATTGAAAGGTATTTAATTATTACGGTTAGATTTTGTTTTTATAAGATAAGAAAAAGATCACTTTGACGCATCAGGAAATCATAATACAAAACAAAAAACAATTGAAATATAATCTCTCTACAGTTCATATTATCCATAATTTCTCAGTCACAGTTCTAGCAGAAACCAATTCAAAGAAATTTCCAAAGATTTTACGTATCCCATCATGACGAACGTACCAAGATTTCCAAGATCGGTTCTGAAACGATCAAATCATTATAATGATCATTCTCAAGTAGAAAATCGTTCGGAAAAGCGTTTTAAAACTCAATCAAGTTTGTACCGATATATTAAATAAGCAGATTTAAAACTCCTATTTTATTTCTTTCTTAGCGTCTCTCAGTAATTTGAAGTTTGTTCTCATTGACTTATCAACACGCTTAAATGCAACACCCTCCGTCATGCTGAGTTGCCTATGTTCAATGACAGACGATTCTATAATCATTAATGATCATGCTTCAGTAACTGAGCTAAAACAACTGTCTAAGAAAAGCACGTTATATTTTGTCAGTAGCGAGTTTTATGATACAATAAAAGATAAACTTGAACAGCATGTACAAATTTTCATATGGCAACATAACACAAAGAAAGTTGATCATCGAAAGCATTTTGATTCTGGTGAAGATTTCATTTTTCTAATTAGTTGATGAAATATATCTATGCTATAAAAAGAAGCGCGCGAATCGCTTCAATCTGATAATCTGTCAATGGGGAAAAAACAGGAGGACGTAGTCAACCTTATTCATGATGAATTGAAGAAAGTTTTCAATGCAGTGTTAATAAGTAACAACAACACTACTCAATACTGCAATAATACTTCCATCGGTCATGAAACACTTTGCTTGACTACAATGTCCAATACCAACCATGAAAAGCATCTAAAAACATGTTGACAAAACCAGATGAACTTCATAGTACTCTAGCTGAACTTCAAAAGGCCTAAAAGATACATTCTTGCTTATATTCTCCAAAAAATCTACTTTTATCTATGCTTCGTTTCAGATGCCAGCTATTAGTGATATTAGATTTAACGATCAGGTATATCAAGCCGCTTGTCATTCGATCTTCCTACTTTGCGAAATGGAAGGAGTACACCTTCCAATTGACTTGAATGACTCTCCTCGAATGTCATTCATTCTAGTTTTCCAAACTATACAGCAATGTGAGAATCGTATCCAGACAAGTCCCCGTAAAATGATCACATTATTTGCTTATGGTGATAACATTCAACGTTGGTTGCCTGCTATTAATGATATGCCATCTTATCTTCAAAAAATAAGAATTTTCTGTCACAAAAACGATAGTGCATATGTAAATAGACGGGCAAGACGCTATAGACAGAGATTTAAAAATATATCTTCTAATATAATTGATTGTAAAGAACTCAATCAACGATTATTATTATTTGGCGTTGATTATCTTCAACAAATGCGTAAGGACTTTCAGCTTGACTCATCTGAATCACAACAGATAGCTCGAGATTACAAAACAATTTGTTATTCTTTGGCTAATTATTTCTGACATGAAGCGAATCCATAAACTATTTTGACAAGACAGAAATAGACTAATTATGAAAATAAAAGTTTGCTACATAGTTGTTCTCTGCTTGAATGAAAGTAGTATTCTATCATTGCGTGTAGCCATCGAATAAACGTGAAGGGTGTGAGCGTGGGTGTGGGTGTTGCTAAAAAAAAGACAGAAATAATTGCTATACCCACACCCACCAACATCCACACTCACACACCACCCACACCGACATCCACACACCACCCACACTCACATCCACACCCACACCCACACCCATACGCTTGTCTAAAATTAGTTTTCGTTTTTTCACAGTGAAAAATGTCCATAGGGCATGACGATAGAAGCTTCAAGGACAAGAGTGTTCGGAATCTGCTGGACTCAGTAACCGAGTAAAAAACCATCACTTTACATCATTTCAAATGCGTATTCAAATTTCGGTTGGCATGCATCGACTGGGCTTTCCATTTTTTCGTATTCATTACTGTGTGTCAGAGAAACCGATAATAACTCTTTCATAATAGGTTTTTCTTCGAGTTTCTTCCACTTCTAGTTTTCCCTTACGAACACACCAACATTGTGACAGATGAAGAGGATGAGTGACGGATAAATGAAAACCATAAAACAACTTCTATTCGCTTTCTTTACAATCAATCACAATAGGTACGTTTCACCTAGCATTTCGTTCCTGTTTCTCTAATATCAAGTGCAGAATGGCGACATCTTTACACAAATATCAGGCATTCAACTACGATGTAGAAGAAGTAGAACACTTTTGTCTTGAGCAAAGCGGTCGACTCAATTACCGAACTCATAGGATGGAAAAAACTGTGTGAAGAATGGTTGTAGATGTTCGTTTTAACGACATACAGATCTACATCATCAAATAACTATAGAAGACTGTCAGAGAAGGATAGGACAAAGTGCAAATCGTTGCATCTATCTCAATATGGCCCGATATATTTCATGATCGAATGTAGTTAATATAAAGCTATGCAAAGATATTATTTGACTAACATTTTCTCGAATAATGTTCGAGTCGTTCAAGGATAGTGGTTGATCACAATATACAACTATATTAATTCCATGTGAAATTTTTTCATAATATAATTTTAATAGATAAATAAATCTTTGAAGAAAAAATCTCAAAAATAAACCATCAATATCTTGTGTAGGTTGTGAGTATGGGTACGGATGTTGGTGTGGGGTGTTTGAGTATGGGTGTAGAGTATGAGTGTAGATGTTTATCTTCTCATCATCTATGTTTTACACTCACCCACACCCACCCTAGTTTTTAAAAAAAAATCATTTTACTCAAGTGTATCTCATTTGATGCAGTTTGTTGTACTGATGTCGAATATGCTTTTTATTTTGCTCTAAAAAGACGTGATAGAATGATGATTTTTGCTAACATAGATTTCAATTTTAACAGCTTTATTTGGTTGTTACACAGATGTAAGAACAAGCTCAATTTTTTCAACATAAAAGAAAACTTAAAAAAACTCTAAAACAGTACTTTTGAAGCTTACCACTAGTGGTCTGAAATGAAGTCAAATGCTCTATTTCATCTACTTTTACAAAAGCCAGCTAGCTTGACCAATGTGCCTATGTATACGCACTGCGACAGGACCACAGACTATATTTGCTCAGCATGACTTTTTTTCACTTTATCAAATGTGTATTCGACCAAATAGCAGTTTTATCGTCAGTTTTTGGTTGTGACCATGAATCTGAAGTTACATTTTTATTTAAGAAAACTCTAGTGTAAATAGTTGCTTATTACCGCTCAAAGTAGCTCTTGAGGAACCTGATAATGTACCAATTGTGTTCCCTGCTAAAATCCGTTGGCCATCCTTTTGCACATTGAGTTTCGTATCAAAAATTGTACAATGTCTAGGGCTTTGAGAATCTGGATTCAATTTTTGGAATGGAACTACTCGACGAGGTCAGAGACGAATTACTAGCTAAACGACGGTTATAAACTGTGCACCCGTTCTCTTTTGTAGAGGCAAGATCAATCACAAAAATTCATTATCATGGCCACTGAAATAGTTCATTTTTTAGAAAAATCTGTTGTGCTTGTTTTAAGACATCTCCCGAGTTAAAGCAATAAGCAGAGGCAGAGAGAATCTCACAATATCATCGACATGTGAAAGAAGCCATTTTTCGAAAGTAAGTCAGGAAAACCTGATATTTTGAATTTAGTGGCTTCTTGATATGGTCTTTCACTTGTGCTAAAAATCCAAGAAAAAAAACAAATTTTGTCGACAACCAGCATGGCCAGTATTCTGGCGACTCTCTCTTAAATAGCTTTCATTTAGTAGCTATACTTTTTGCGACTACTGTGTAATACAATGTAAGCAGCTCGTTTAAAAATAACACCGACATGACTTACAAGAAAATGAGATTTAGCTAATATTGGTATCAGTAGTCTTTAATCAATTTTTATTTTACTTTTATTTTAGGGTCGTTTGTTATAGATTATGTGTTACGTTGTAAAAACTACAAAAAAAAGAAAAGCCTTTAAGTTGAAAACGAGTGCATTTTAACTAAATTATTTTTTAATTATATTGTTCAAATTCTATTTGATTTAATTTTCCAACACGATTAGTATGAGTAGTGGTAATACTAGCATCACCGTCATTAAACTCACGGCGAGTGACACTAACACCGTCAACTGAAGCACTATCACTAATCAAGTTTGGCACTGAAAATGAATACCTTGTATTAACAAGATTAATATCGTTGGTACCAGCATCTATTGGAATTTCTTCACTACGAGTTCTACCCGATAATGATAAATCTTGATGGATTATTTCATTTGACTGGTCAAAATTAACAGTATTTTCACCTGTAGTTGTATATATTGAAGATGATGATACCAGAGATGACTAGAATAAAAGATTTATATAGGTTTTTTTTCTGAGGATATTTTGTTGTTGAACAAAGTTTACCATATCTTCAATAACATCAGCGTTGCATGTTTGTTGAACAAGTGTTGCTGGATCTAAAAGTGATGACCCATAACGAACTACATAAGCAGTAGGATCTTCTTGAGTAACGTCAAGTTTTTCAAATTTTCGGACATTAAGTGTTTCATCAGCAGAATAAATTATAATAGTATTAGATGATTGTGAATATTTTATATCAGGAGAAGCGTGCACAACAATTGTACGGTATTCATGTTGAGGTTCGTATGGAATCCATCGTTCAATTATGATATCGCCTAAATAGCGAAAAAGCAACAATCAGAAATAAGAAAATAACAAAAAGAAACATGAAGATAATTCGTGTACGTGGTTTTTCTGGAAGAGATGGATAACGTTCGATAACAACTGATCGAGGCGGAACAAGTATATCAGGTAAGGTATGAATAACTGTAAAATAGAAAAGATTGATTAATCTTATTTTTGTCATATAAATTTTCTTTTTTTTCTAACTTGTTTCACTAGGAACATGTGGCGGTGGTGTTGGCGGCCGTTCACGTAAGATAAGTGGAGGTGGTGAAGGAAGAGACGGCGCACGTTCGTGTATGACAAGTGGTGGAAGTGGCGATGGTTGTCGTGGACGCACTTCTTTAATAATGAGTGGCTAGAATCATACAAATATTAGTAAGATTGAATTTGTGGACGTTTTGTTCCATTACTCCTGGTGGTGGAACAGCTGGTGGTTGAAGATATCGAACAAGAACTCGTTGTTCTAGTGCTACTGGCTTTTCAGTGGTTGCTCGTCGAATAATTATTGGATTAGGATCCTTATAAATACTATTACCTGATTTTTTCAGATATTGATTTGTTTCTTCTACGCTGCTTGTATGAATCACCATATCATTAATCAACTCACTAGCTACTGCTGTAGTTCCATATGAAGCATATTTATCAGCCGTATATTCCAAACTCTCTTGAGAACTAACTTTATCGTTATGCCGATCCAATTGACTACTACTATTATCATAAAGATTAAGTCGACTAGTTGTTGATTCGTATGATAAAGAATTCAATTCTTCAGCATTTGAAGTCGAATTACGAAACTCATTTTTATCAATACTAAATATGTATATATGCATTTGTGATAGGATTCAAATACTTAATTCATACATTCCATCTCGATTTGTATCAACTTGTTCAAATAGGGTTTTAGCTTGAGGAATGCTTGCCATTATTCTAGATCGATCAAGTACAGATAAATTCTTAAAATCAAAACATAGTAATCGTCATTAAGTTATATATCTGTTATGAAAATATGGAATGCTCGATCAAGAATGAAAGGCATTATACATTAATACAAATACCAAAAACTTATTCTATAGCATCCAAAGTATTCACGTTCATATTCTTTTTAATTTATTGCTAAACAACTAGAAGGATTAATGAAAAAAAGAAAATGTATAAATCTTTGTCGCATCATTCGGACAAATAGTTCATAAAGATTAGAATATAAATATGAGAATATTGTAAGAACAAAAAGTAGAAGGAGAGCTCTTCAATAAAACAGATGAAAGAAAATCAGTCCATTAAGAATTCAAAAGAAAGATATGAAACTAACAAAGGCATCAATTTAACATTATTTTTTTTATTTAAAATAACCTGACTTTTTCTTACATAATACATATAACTAACCTACCCAGTTTGTATTCGGTTTTAAAGGTGAACAAACAGCTGTTTAAAAAAAAACTTATTAGTTCAATGTTTTTGGAACTAAAACATGATACTAAAATATGTTCTTCAGTTTGATTAAAGTAATACGAAATACAATTTACACAAAATAATGAATTGTTCCATTGGTTTTTTTTCTGATGAGTGCCCTTATTTTTCGTTTTCGTTGTTGCTATTCGTTGGGTATATTTTGATTTGTTAACTTAGCGTTTTCATTATTATAAGCATCAAATCGAACAGGGAGAGTGGAAGCTGGAAAACTTCGACTCGATTCTTACGCTCACTATTTTCTTCGAAAACATATGTTAGTTCCACAAGTTCTTTTCAATTGAACTTTTGATACTCATTACGAATACATAGATTATTCGAGCTATTTCAAGTAAAACAGAGCATGATCATCTTTTATTTGACTTGGTTTCTTCATAAGGATTACTTTTTTGAATAAGTATTTTAATATTTTCAGATGTAACAACCTAGACAGACACATTAACGATCAAAAAGGCATTTTAACATGTAACTTTGTGAACTGTTTAAAATGTTTGACTAGTTGTCAAAAACATGTTAAACAGCTTAAGGCAAATACTTTTTAATGTGTTTTCGATGCTTAAATGCTCAGAAAAATTGAAACTTTCAACACGTTAATGTGTTCTGGGAAACAGATCAAACATTCTCAACGATTTCCTGGTTTCTTCATCACAACTCTAGCATTACTAGATAAACATTTTGTTAAAACGATGAATTGGCAAATGTACAATATGTTCTACAAACCCGTACACAAAAACACTTTTTCCACATAACGTGGTTATGGATTGACTTTTATCCATGGGCTTTTCTCGTGTGATAGGTAAACAGGTCAAGCTTGTATTTCTATAGACCAACTAGTAAAGTACTCAGCAAAGTAAATATCTGAAGTAAAAATAGAAAAATTCAACATTATTTTGATGCCAGTATAATATTTCGCAACGTTTGTTTTTTAGTTATTTCAATTTCTCGATTAATTCTGATCTCTGAAATGTTCCGATTTGAAACAGTCGTTTCTTAGAGCTTAATTGTAGTGTTTCCTCGTTACAAGAAATCGAATAGTATGAAGTCACAAATCAAAACAGCTAACAAAGAATGGCTGCGAAATATTATTGTGCAATAAAAAAAGAGTTGAATTTTAACAACTCGGTTAAAGATAATTACTTTACAGAAAATTTGCAATGATTGCCTTTAGAAATCAAATCTTGATGATGTCATTTATCATACACAGGAAAACTAGCTGATAAAGTTCAATCAATGATGAAGCTGTCAGAAGAAACATTTTTGAATAGGAACTTTTGCCACACCCTGTACAAGATTCGTATCGAAGCCTGAAAAGCGATTATTCCAAAACGGTTTATAGTAACACAAGATGCAAAAATAATGACAAATGGCGGTCCCTACTTCTCTTCAATAGAAGGGTGCTGAACGAAAAGTTTTTTACCAAAAGTTAGAGCCATTTTTCCTCTTTCAATGTATATTTTACTTGCTTTGTAACAAGTCCATAAAAAAATATTGTTCCCTATGAAGGGTGTCTAGTAAGTTTTGATCTCCCTCAAGTAACGGGTGATGCAAAAGTTTTTGCACAAATGTCCCTCCATTTTTCATCTACTAAAAGACGTTTTGGAAAAATGAAAAATACCTATTCGTATTCTACATCGAAAGAGCTTTCTAACTGTATGTTCAAATTTTTTTATCGTATCTTGCCTCTGAGTACCAATCACACCTTTGGATGGCAGTAAAAAGTAGCTTGTGAAGATCAGATAATGGGCCTGTTCCTAAGCATATGCCATCCACGTTTTTTTACCAAAGAATCTTTTAGAAAAAACAAAAATAACTTTTCATGTTCTACATTTGAAGAGCTTCCTCACTACGCACTAAAAACTTTTTAATCAACCCTGACTTCCGAGCAGTGGCTAAATCTTTAAAACATACAAAAATTTGATCTGAACAGGGAAAAGAGCTTTTCCTTTCGGATAAACGTAGAACTACTAAATTGTTACTAGAACTATTTTGGACTATGGACGCTTGTAGAGCAGCCAATTCTTTAGAAAACGACGTTTTGAAACAGGTTATATCACAAATGAATTCGAATTTATCGTCATTTCTCCGAACACTATGTTTATTTCGCTGGAAACACTATTTCTCAAAACAAAACCCAGACTTTGAATAATTTAAACATTTGCTCGGTTGGTGCTACAAAAAAATAATCAACAACACCTCATTTTGTTGAAAAAAGTCTGTTCTATAATCTGTTAGGCAAGTCACAGTTTAATCTTTCAATAAAAGTTGTTTTTGTCAAAGTTTGAAAAGATGTACGAACTCTTTTCTTCTTTACAAACTACCATTTAGTGCCATTCAAAGATGAGCTTGTTATTCAAAGACAAAGCACGATAACAAAATTTTGAACACAGTTAGAAAGCTCTTTCGACGTAGATTATGAATAGATATTTTCCATTTTCCCGAAACGTCTTTTAGTAGATGAAAAATGGAGGGACATTTGTGCAAAAACTTTTGCATCACCCGCTAATACTCCTTTGTTATATGATTTTTTGGTGGAATACGCTTATATTCACGGCTCATATCCTAGGCATCTGGATCTACTCTAAGCTGGAATTTCAGCTTTCTACTTCTTGCTGTCACAGACATACAAGTCACTTACAATCCATAGAAATTTTTGAAATAGCGGATTAGCTAGAATAAATAGCCGCATTTTCTATTTCATTTTTGCATCATCTAATACGTTATATTAAAAAACAAAAGATACCAAAATATACTGTGTGAAAAGCTCTACAATCTACAAGGTGGAGCTGATTTCAGTTCGGTACCTTTTATTTTCAAAAACATGTGTGATCACTTTCGCAACGTCGAAAATTCGTCGTACAAAATTGGACTCGTTTTGAGAACAATGAGTAGATATATGAGAATTAGCTTCACTAAGTAGATGTTAGAGCGTTTCACGCTGCACTTTATGGTATACATTGTTTTTCAAAAACCATGTCCGACAACGAAAAAATACAATGCTACGCTGCCAATTATTGTACCCCACTCATTACTTATTTCAAAGTGTTAGTACGAACTCCAAGTTACTTGTATCTCTGTGATTATCACAGACAGACAGCTGGAATTCTAACATAAAGTAGATTTAGATGTCTAATGCATATACTGTGAATATTAGTCTATTCTACCAAAAATACATATATCAAAGGAATATTACTAGTAGAAGATAGAAACTTATTAGATACCATTTATCTGTTTGATAAATAGGACCTCAAAAGTATATTTTTTTTATCAATTAGTAGGGAATTTCTTCCACTTTCGAATAGTATATGATATGCATTTATCAAACATTGATGAAAGAAATGACAGAAGAAAAATTTCATTTTTGTGAGCCCATTAAAAAGTTCTTGTAAAATGGCGCTTACTTTGACTCTTATGAAATCGGTAACATCACTGTCTAAAACGACAGTAAATTTTAATTAACTATCATCGACAAGGTTTTTTGACGTATTCGTACAAAAATTACAAATTTATTGTATACCTACTTCTTCCTTTTCTCGTCTTGATTTATTTGGCAATAGATAACAAATATGAATCATATATCTTCCGAAAGAGCAGAAAATTTTCTATTAACTGTTAAAAAGTATCCTTGTCAGAACCCTTTCATCGATGGAATATATGGGTCGATGTATTATTTGGTTCTTCTATGAAAAAGCACAGGTTCTTTTTAATGGTGCTTCTCTTTTCTACGGAGTTGTTTCGTTTATGAACGTATTATAACAATAAGTTAGGTGTATTTTGAAAGAAGAGAAATGTCCCTATCTGTTGGTGAAAACAAGCTTCTGTTCAATAATTGTTTATTGAAGAGAAATAGAAATCGACATTTGTCCTATTATTTTTCTATTGTCCGTTAACTTTTAGGACAATATTTCTTTCTCAGAAGATGAAACAATTTCTACTGATTCTTTCGATGATCGAAATCTATCCACATTTGTTCTATTTATATTTTTACTTTGGAGACACTTTCTTTTTTTTTGTTTGAAAAGTATGAATACGAATTTCTTCTGTCGCAAGTGTTAGATACTCAAGTTCACAAATATCATTTACAATACGTGATCACATAGCAATAATACAATAAATGTTGTGTGATTAGAAGATTTAATATCTATACTTTGCGTACTAAGAAACTCAAGTTTCATATTTCAATTAACCGAAGAAATTGATATTAATGAATAAATATTTTCATACTCGATTCAACCCAAGCATTAGCTAGAGAGCATGGGAATCCGACAGTCATCAAGCAAGTTCTTTATACTTAAACAAAGCTATCATCCGTGTTGCATTCAGGAATCTGTGTTCTACTCGATTCACAATACAAAGTTTATCTGTAGTTGGGTGTGAGTGTTGTTGTTCTTTCCTACCACACTCACACCCGGCTCCTGATTCTTGTTTTTCACTTGATTGCAGCGTTGCTGAAGGCCACTAACCTGCACTATTAGCTCATGGTTTTTGATTTCCATTTGACTACTATGTTGCTGAAGATCTTTTATCTGATCTTCCAGCTCTTGATTCATGTTATGCAATTCGTTTGCATGTTGTTCAAGGTTTTTAACTTGTAATTGGAGCTCATAGTTGTTGTTTTCTACTTTATTACTGCGTTCCTGCTGGTTGTTCACTTGCAGTATGAGGTTCTGATTCTTGCTTTCCATTTGACAACAGCGTTTCTGAAGATTGCTCACCTGCACTAAGAGTTCGTGATTTTTGTTTTTTAATTGATTATTCTGTTGCTTAAGACCTTTGATCTCAGCTTTCAGCTCCTGATTCATGTTTTCCATTTGCTTGCCATGTTGTTTGAGGTTGTTGATCTGAAGTATCAGCTCATGATTTTTGTTTTCCAGCTGGTTGCTGTATTGTTGAAGATTTTTGAGTTGAGCTTTCAGCGCCTGATTGGTATCCTTCAATTGATTGTCATGTTGTTCAAGGCTGTTGACTTGTAGTATGAGCTCCTGATTTTTGCTTTCCACTTGCTTGCAGCGTTGTTGAAGGTTGCTAGCCTGTACTGTGAGCTCTATATTCTGTTTTTCCATTTGGTTAACCTGTTGTTGCGAATCTTTTACCTGGGCGTTGAGCTCCTGATTCTCGTTTTCCAGTTGCTTTCCATGTCGTTCGAGGTTGTAGACCTGAAGTATGCGCCCATGATTCTTGCTTTTCACTTGGTCGATATGCTGTTGATGATCTTTGATCTGAGCTTTGAGTTCTTTCTTCTGGGCCTCCACCTGGTTGCAATATCTCTCTAGATTGTATGTTTGCCGAGCAGGGTTTTCATTATCAAATTCAAATTGCTTATGTCGTCGGTCAAAGATAAAGAGTTGATCGAACATGGCCAGTTTCTCTCGGAAGCAGTGATCCGCTATTGCAGAAACGTGTGCATAAGAGATTGTTGCTAGCTGATGTCCGAACTCTTGCTTTCGATGTGACATCTTTACCTTCGGATATGAAATTGTGCTGCATTTGTCAAAATAACCACTTTTCTCATTTCCTATAGGATCAATCGCACACTTTACCGAGTGTCAATGAAATTTATCAATAGACTTACGTGCATCTGATAAATGCGTGCATGAAAAGTTCGACCCATAACGGTAGCTGGAATAAGCTTCTGTCTTCTTCGATTCGATTTTCAGAGGAGACCAGTCGAATAATTGAACGCAGGATCTACATCTTTTTGTATGGATGAAACTATTGTTGCATACCCTGCAGTGGAATGTTGGAACGGTCGACTGCATATGCGTGCACAAATAGACAGAATTTTTCTTGAGTTAATACTTTTTACCAGGAATCGAACAAACCAATTTTATGTAAGATCTATTGTCGGAAAAAGTGAATAGAAAATGATATGAATATGAAGCCTTTGCATTTCTTTGTTTTCTAGAAAAGATGCAACCCAACACACCACAACACAGTACTCGCAAGCGTCACTAATGAAATGAAGAACCGCACAATCGCTTACATAGCATTCAAACACATTATTCAAATATGATTTTTCATCACGATGACCAAATTCTTTTTATAGGATTCTGAAGTGATTTGAAGAAAATACAGCTTGGAAACAAAGAAAATCAATGTAAATAAAATACGTTAAGTTGACATCATATGCATCGGTTGGTTAGAAGCTTATCAACAATCCTCTTCGAACCATGATATCTGACTTAGACGACAGAAACGAAAGAACCGACGAAACATTCAAGTTTCACTGAACTGGGTATTTGCAAAAGACATGAAGACTCAAGAATATCCATATCTTTTGACCATGAGTAGTCCTACTCGAGTTATACACATGCTGAAAATTTTAGGCTTTTAGATGCTCGCCTCGACAAAATAGCAGGGACGTACTTTTTCAATTTTAAGCTTTCTAACTGGATTTTGTATATTATACAATTCACGTAAGTGACGATCAGAGCTTGATCACCTTCAGATATTATTGTGGAGGGAAAAGCTTTATGAGTTTTGAAGCAAGCCGTTTAGAGAAATATTGAATCCTCAGTTTTTTATGAATGTTTTACAACAAGCCAAACAAACCTATATTTAAGCCAACGAAAGTCTTGATGAAACCATATCTCAAAATGGTTGAACCGATTGAGCTGAAATTTTTAGTAGACATATACTTCTATTAGTTCTATTGACGATAAAATTTTCAACTCAAGTCATTGAGTACTTGATTGTTTGTGACTCATCCGATATGGGCAAAACTTCCCCTTGTAGGCCACTTTGCTGCTTCATAATTCGTGATTGGGATCATTAAGAGGTCTGAAGTTTTTACTGGTTGTCACTTACGTGAAATCTATAATATGCGAAATCTAGTTATAAGGCTTAAAATTGGAAAAGTATGTCCCTGCTATTTTCTTGAGGCAAGCATCTAAAAGCCTAAATGTTTTAGCACGTACTTAACTCGAGTGATGCTTCTCATTGTGAAAAGGTATAGGTGTTCTTGGGTACTCGCGTCTATTACAAATAGATCTTAATTGTGAAGGCACTTCTCTTTAATTAGATCGATTTTCTGATATGACCGAAGCTAAACGTTGGAAACAATTGTTCATGAAGTCAATAGACTTGTTCACAAACAACATAGAGCAGTGTATACGTTCACCACAAAGCACAGCTGCAATTCATTCGACAAGACTCACAAAAAAATATGATTGTGTATGATGATTCCAGGTTATTTTGACTCGATTGAAAATAGCGGATTTTGTTTTTGTCCCGACCATTTTCTTGCTACGGCTTTCGTTTAGAGCTTCGCGTACCTATTTCATCGCATTTCGATCTAAAAAATTCTCTTTGAACTTCTGCTCGGGACCCGGTGGCACGGGAATTAACTATCCTAGACGAAATCGACCGGAGTCCATAAAATAACGTGATAGATGAGACCCATTTTTGAATCCATTCGGTCATCGGAATGATGTGCCTGTGGTAGTAATGCGAGATCTCGAATAGAGAGAAATACAGGCTTTATAATTTGGCTATAATCAGCTAAGAACTAAAAGAGCAATATTTATCGAAAATGCGAGACAGAATGTCGTTCGTTTACTACTTCTGTTGTTTTTTATTCTTCACGACATACTTTACTTGTTATCTATCATTAAATAAAACGTAAAAAATTGGATATGATCTGACGAACGCTCCTGATATAATGCGATATCGTATCTATCTTTCAACAAGAGTTCAATACTTACAGAGTGAACGAATAAATCAATGACTGAAAGATTATCAACAATATGGAGAACCGCTGAAAACAGTCAGAATATTGAAATAGAATTTTATCTAAAACACAATAAAAAAAACCAAGAGACGAAACTTCTATGCAATCATCTCATCACTCTTCAGCCGGCATTAATAAAATAGCTGATATCAGTTCGAATATAAGCAGCAAAACTAAACTTTTCTGATAGTCAGAAGACATCAACACATACGAATATGTTTGACAGTGTTCTATTGACGCATTTAGGTTATAGTAAGTCCACTGGAACACTAAAATGAGTATTCATCCTATGGTATCTTTCAAACGCTATGATCATTCCACTGCGTTGTAGCATTCTTGGAATATATGTTACTGAACAACGGTGTCTTGTCAACGTTCATAATATCGAAAAGGAAGTCTCTTTTTGGAAGATTCTTTTAGATACTCTTATGATGATAAGTTCCATGAATGGGTGCAATGCTAAATCAAAAATGTCTAATACGATATTTAATGAAATAAAGCACAACAGCTCGAAAATTCAGTAAAATCATCATAATTTGAGCACACTATCATAAGGAAACGAGCCACTCTGTGGATTCTACGAGTCTTATGTGGTCTTACTAATATTTTTCAGTTCCTCGTATCTAACTTTAAGTGCAGTCTGTTGTTTTAGTCTAATTGTCAGGTAATTTGTATGAGAGAAAGATGAAACTGGAAACAAACTGATAACCAATACAAAACTCACAGAGTTCGTCACAGCGAAGCTAAGGATGAGGGTCACCCCGCCCACAGTCGGCTGAATCTATGTCTTTATCGTGTGTCTAATAATAGAGCGAAATACTTTTGGTCATCTATATTAGCGAGGACGCTATAAAACATTTGCATTGTAGACTGAATTCATTTTCTTTCAATCAGGAATTGATCAGTGTGAGTTGATTACCAACTTTCTGCCTCGGCTTCGCCAGAATTCTGACATCTATCCGAATCTCATGCATGTCTATGAGTTTCGTTGTGTGCTTCCTTTTACTAACGCTTCGAATGATTAGTCGTTCAGCAAAATGAAGCTTGTCAGGAATTTCCTCGAAGTTCTTTGAAAGACGAAAAATTTAGCAGTTTTTCTTTATGTCCTGGAGAAAAAGATCTATTGGAAAAATCTTTCATTGAATACAGTAGTATCTTTAAGGATCAACATGAAAAATCGTCGAATTATTATCAAGCAAAATCGATAAACTGACTTTTACTATGCTTCTTGTTCGCACTCGAAGGATTATCAATTAACATATAGCGCGGAAAAAAGGTACACCTTTGACCAAGGGGGAAAAAGCGGATCCTGGTGGATCCTGGTGGATCATACTGGATTCTGGTGGATCCTACTGGATCCTGACGGAACCTGATGAATTGTAGAATAAATTATTTCAAGCGTACAGAAACGAGGATGGAAAAGTTGATCTTAATGGATATGAGAATTCTTTAAGATCCAAATAAATTAAGTGAGAAAAGGGAATAGTGACTTCAGAATTTGTAACTAAGTAANAATAATGGCTATTGGCAGCGATCGCTCTGGTGCCCTCGCTTCTTGTGCTACTGTTGAAACTGCATCAAAACCCACATATGCAAAGAAAACATAAGTACATGCTTGTAGCATGCCTGTTACTCCATAGTTACTAAACGGACCTAGGAGACACAATGAGATTCATTCATTTCTTAGATATATTATTAACGCAGCCATATACCTTCATTGGGTGGAAAAAATAACTTATAATTTTTGCGATCGACATAATTACAACAGGCGAAAATAAATATTAAAAGTATAATAATTTTAAATACAACCAATACGAGATTGACTATAGCCATTTGACGAGTTCGAATCATAAGAAGAATTGTAATTGCAATAGTAATTGCAATAGCAGGTAAATTAATTGCTTGTCCGGTGACATGAAAACGTTCGGCGTCTTCGTCCCAAGCTACTGGTGCTTGAACAATCATGCTTGTTGCATTATAATCAGACACAAGATCAACAAATAAAACGACATGCTTGCTCCAAGAAACTGACACTGTGAAAACACCGAATAGATAAAGTAGTGCAGAATTCCATCCAATAAACCATGCCAAATATTCTAGATGGAATAAGACATAACGAGTCTCTTATTTTAACGACACTTTTGATTATTTACCTCCCAAAGCTAAAAGAATTGTAAAAAAAGTGTTTATAAGATTAAGATAAGTATACGATCAGTAGCTTACCTGCATAAGTATATGTGTAAACTGATCCAGAACTAGGCATCATTGCTGCTAATTCTGAATATGATAAAGATGCCAACAATGCAATAACCCCTGTTATAACAAATGAAATGATGACTGATGGACCAGAATATTTGGCAGCAGCTTGTCCACTTAATACAAATATCCCGGCACCTGAAAAGAAGATTCAAAACTATTGTCGCATGTGTTGTTTTCGATCTCACTCACCAATAATAGCACCAAGACCTATAGCAAGTAATTGAATCCAACTTAGATCACGTCTCAATTCATTTCGTGTATCGATTTCAGCTTGTAATTTGTCCATTGGTCTACGTGCAATCAGTTGTTTGAAAAACACTTTAGTAGAAGATAATACTTTTCTACAAGCACCATGTTCTGATTGAATGCTTGAGCTGTTATCAACAGCTCTACCCGTAGACATAGATAGCTTTTTTTGTAAATAATAATTCTAGCCTAATCTAAAAGTATACTTCATATCTATGTCTGCAATATAGATGCACGCAGAAATGTTTTTCTCGATAAATAATACAATTGATAAAACAAAATACAGGATTGGAAGGAAAAAAGAAAGTAAACGTGACTCAGTTGATAAACAGCTAATAAAACGCTTTGATTAATCACCGGTAGCCTTGTAGATGTACAAAAATTTTGCAACAAAACGTATGATAGAAAAGAACGTTTTTGAGGGCTGTCCCGGTTTTTTTCTTCATCCAGTTTCGGTTCTGTTCTCTGACATATATTTTCTCCTTCAAGGTGTGAGACGATATGATTTTTTTATTTATATTCTCGACCATACGAACCACCACCGTGTTTTAATATAGAAATTTGTGCTTGACGGAAAAAATATGGTATCTGTTTCATTTCCTTACGTAGGCACACTTTTAGTCGCAAAAATACCTTTTATGTTATCGATATCCATCAATCAAAATTAATGAAGCGTAATTTATTCAATAACGTGCTCAATTTTTTGGTTATTATAGTCTGTATTTTTTCGAATGACTTTGTTCGTTTCTAGATGTTTGTTACTATTCTATGTCCAAAGTCATCAATAAAAGTCTACTTATTTGAGATACATACTTCTGGCATCTTAAAATATCACAACAAATAAAAAATTAAATATATAGAAGCTGTTTTTTATTTTCTTCGACTTTCTTCAATATACTATTGCTTATTGACTATAGCTTTTGTAAAAAAATTTTGTTTTATATTTAGTACAAAATATATCATAGAAAATAGAAATAAATATGAATCAGATAGGCAAAAAATAATTCATTTAACTCTAGGGAGAAACAACAAAGACTTCGGTTTTGAAGTCCAATGAAGTCTCTCTGAAGCCTCATGAAGTCAGACGAAGTCTTGAAAGTCAGTTGAAGTTCCTTGAAGTCTGATGAATCCTTTGAAATCTTTTGAAGTCTTGAAGTTCGCTGTTTTCTCCTCGATTCAATCAAAATCGACGTCGAATTTAAGTTTCAATTATTCTCAGATATATAATAAATTGAAAAACTATATTAATCTACATTCATTCTCAAATTGAATCTATAATTGTAAAGTTAATTTATATGAATGAGGCAGTTGGATAAGTATTTTCGAATTGGATATACCTTCTCGAAAGCATGGGCGGTACGAATTCAGTTTTCTAGGGGTAGCAATTAAGTTTTAAACGAGTTTATTTTGTCTCACCTCCCAATAATGAATGAATAGTACGGCAGTAAATCCTTTGTCGTTTGGATTTAATATTTCTCAAAGGCATGATATGTGAAAAATTAATCATTGAGTCTTCATCCTTGCCCTGGGATCTACGTGAACCCACTTTACAGTTTTTCGTGTAGTACTATACAAGATTTCCTGTTTTGAACTAGTCCTATTCTCTAATCTCTAGTTTTTTGTCGATGCATAATATCTGCATGAGAAATAACAATTAAGTCTACAAAGAGGAAAATGCAGCTCTGAATCCACATGGGCGCCACAATAACTACAGTACTATAAACATCATTTTTCGTTTGTTTTCTGTTGATTTTTTTTTCATTCAAACAGCATGAAAATAGTAACTTGTCAACTATATCAAGAAAAAGATTAAAAATACTTTGCATTCAATAAAGAAACTTAAATGTAAATAACATTGTCATTGTGATTAAGAAACTAAGTTTTTACTGTTTTTTTTAATCATGAAAAAGAAAAAGACAAAAATAAAGATAGTTAAGAAAATTTCTCCTCTTTTGACCTACAGATAATTACATATGTCAACATATGCAAATAGTTCTACCATTCTAGATTAAAATGATTCAATCTGAGGTTGTTTTTAGTTGTCTACAATGTTATCATAAAAAAGATTCTAGGAAATGGTTTTTTTTACGATATTGTATATCTTTATACTGCTATCAATGGAATTAGCATGTCAGTCTTTATAAAAAGAAAAGAGCAACAAGACCATTGTACTACACAAATGATAAGTTTGAATGAAGCACAAGCATCCGTTTTTGATTATTTCAATAGATGGGTCCAAGCGGACCTTGAACAAAGATGAAGTTTCAAAATTAGGACAAGGACGAAGAGTTAAATCATCTGACAGCACATTACGAGCTTCAAATTAGTGTAACATTTTTTATTGAAAAAAAGATCTATCCAAACAAAAATTAGGAAAAACTCAAACCTCTTTTACTTTTACCTTCTGTTCACTGGCTATTGTGCTCTCACCTTGATACTCATGTAAACGGTTGCCTGAAATTTAAACAATTAGCCTTTTTTTTGGAAAAAGTATAGGCGTAACAATCAGTTGAGATGATTAAGGCGCTGTTTTTTAGATTTTTTAACAAGTGAATGTTAGCAGCTAGTTGATGTCCTCTTTCATTGTGAAATAAAAGGTAAATGTGTTTTTTTTTCAAACATTTTACATCTAATTTCAAAAATCTAAATTATAAACTTTGTTAAAAAGAACAAAACAAACAAGAAATGCCTAATATTCTACCGGTCTTTATTAATAAAAAATAGTAAAGAAGATCAGCTATTGCATTTCATCCGTTAAATATTAGTTAATCAGGCTTCACTTCTTCTGATCAAAGTAGTCAAGTATCATTTAGATAGTCTTCAAGAAGTGGAAGACAGTTTAGAGTTACACGATTGATTCTGATCGAACAGAAAACTTTAGACACCGCTGATTATAGAAGGAGAGAACACAAAATAATCAAAATTTCGATTAGATATAACTTTAATAATTACATGTCGTATATGTATTACAGAGAACACATTCATCAGGATTGCAATAAAAAAAAATCATGAGACTGGATAAATCCTCCTATATTAACTACAAAGCCGTATTAAATGTGTATGTTGAATAATGTAGTTTTACTCTAATATGCAAAGAAAGTACGAGCAATTTAGAGTAGCAATAAATATTTCTTGCTTCTTCAAACTGTTTTTAGGGAAAACAATTCCTACCCCTTGTAGTGCTGATGCGTCATCCTGGCATACATGCTGAAAGTAAAAGCTCAGAAGAAAATAAAACAAGTCTCATAGTCCATAAACATTCTACTAACAACTATCGGCTATATAGGTTATTAGGATTAGTAAAACCTTTTTATTGCTACTCCTCATTTTCTTTAGAGATAGTGATTACTATGCCTCACTACTATGACACACCGCCTATGTATACTTCATGTCTTGTTTGTAACATTTCGATAGTTTCAAAATGCGAATCTTATCACCCGATTACCGTTTACCAACGAAATCATCTAAGAATTGATTCCATGGAGTAAGTCTTAGTTTGTCACATGCCACCTTCATTCTCGCATAGTGTTGTATCGGATTGAATTAAATACCCGGAAATTGAAGCTTATGGATAGTATATTAGGAATGGCTCTCCTGTCAAGCATGTTACTAATCCTACACTGTGACCAATTGTCGTTCAACTATTTCTCACTTTTTCCTATTCAAACCACTTGATGCAACGATTGGATATGTATCACATATACTTTAGTTTTCTTCCCTATCTTCTTCACATTGATATTAGTCAGTAATGTATAAATAATGAAGTTTTTATTGAGCAGAGATATAAAGAATCCAGGCTGTCAACAAGAGGAAAATATGACAAATAAAAGGTGCTTTTACATAATCTTCTCGTAAAACTGCATAATATTTACGGATATTGAACATTCGTTTAGTGTCAGAGGCTAAATAATCTCTTAGTTTGGATCAAATATTACGCTGAACGTAAGAAAATGAAATACTTTCTTTGAACTCAATGAAGAAAATTAATAGACAACAATTAGATATTCAATGAGATGAAACATACTTAGCCGGTACATATAGCAAGAAACATACAAAAGAAGATAATACTCTATGAACCGCACTGAAAATACCTTGTGGCCATTTCGATTCAAAACAGTTTTTAAAAAGTTTCGTTATTTTTCCTTTTTTCCTTTCTTGTCTAAATGTATCTTCCCTATTGTTATGCTAGATCGAACATTTCCAAGTGATCAACGCTTCTTATCTATCGTGTGCTTATTTTTGAAACAAAGTATGTATACATGACGTATGATACAATCGACACCTTTTTATTTTAATTTTCTGTTTTGTCTCTTTATGTTAATAATTGTCTAGTACGAAGGACGAAGATGCGTAAATAGTATTACAAGAAATTCTGACGAGATTTTGATTAAAAGCTTTTATTAGTCGTCGTTTGGATTGGCACAGACAGTACAGACTGTAAACTCTCAAACCAAATATTATAATAAAATGCTTATATAATTCATAATGAATTATTTATTATGTAAAATCCGATTGACAAACATGATATAATCTTCTATTCTTGATTTTATTTAAATGTTTTATATCTATACGAACAAATATTAATACAGAAAGTTTTTATAGTGTACTTTCAGCATTTTCACTGGCTAAATCCGATTCAAATCAATCATAAGTATTTTCTTCTTCAATACTGTTAGATCATAGAAGTGATGATCTAAGACGAAAAGAGAATACTGTCTCTTCTAGTCTAATTGGCTTAGGACATCTGCCAGGATAGCAGAAGGTGGGTGGTTCGATTCCCGCGAAGAGCATGTCTTTTTCGTTCTGTCACTGTAACATCTCCTCCTTTCGACCGAGTTTTGTAACTAATACTTTCTTCTGTAGGTGCAAGCTCAATCGTACTTCCAACAAATTCACTTTCTATTAAATTTCGTCGTTTAGAATGCCAAAAACCATAAGAAAAATAAATAATTTGACCTAATGCTGTCCATACAAGGAATCGGAAACCTGCTGCTTTCGTGATACTTTTCATAAGAAATATACAAAATAAAGAACCTATAGTCGGAATTAGCCATGAACCAAATAGCACTTCAAATGTTCGTGGCATATCTCTATGTGTGTAGCGCATCTATAAAAAAACATTTCAGATAACAGAATAGAAAAACAGATCAATTGAACGTACGACTATGACTGCAACATGCACGAAAATATATGTTATTAGGGCACTAATTAAAGTTGTTTTTTCACCCAGCATGTGTACTGGACAGACACCTGAAAAAACGGCACAAAATACACCTAAAAAATCCAGATAACTCTTAATTATGAATTGTACAAAAAAGAATTATCACCGCTAATTATTATCGAAATCCGGGGAGTTTCTGTGGTCTTATGAATTTTAGCAAAGATCGGTGGTAGTAAACCATCATGAACCATTGCATAAAATATTCGAGTTTCTGAGAGCATCACCGTCAATGCTACTGTTGTAAGACTAGCGATAGCACCTAAATCCATGAGAATTGATAACCAAAGACCATAAGGTGTAGCTTTTCTATTAAGATTACAATGAATATCACTAATATTCTTTAAGAGATTACTAACAACTTACATTGCATCTGAAAGAGGACTATCTGAATTTAATGACTCATATGGAACGAGTCCAACCATGACAGTACATATTCCAATATACAATAGTAGTGAAATAACTGTTGACGCAATAGTAGCAATTGACAGTGATCTCTCTGGTGCCTTCGCTTCTTGTGCTACTGTTGAAACTGAATCAAAACCCACATATGCAAAGAAAACATAAGTGCATGCTTGTAGCATGCCTGTTACTCCATATTTACTAAACGAACCTAAGATATACAATGAAATTCATGCATTTCTTGGATATATTCGAAAAAGATTATCAAATAGCTTTATTTGTTGGAACAAATGGAATGTAATTATTGCAATTGACATATTGACAACAGGCGAAAACAAATATTAAAATTATAATAATTTTAAACACAACCAACACGAGATTGACTATAGCCATTTGACGAGTTCGAATAAAAAGAAGAATTGTAATAGCGATAGTAATTGCAATAGCAGGTAAATTAATCACTTGACCAGTGACAAAAAACGTTCGCCATCTTCGTCCCAGGCTACTGGTGCTTGGACAATCATGCTTGATGCATTTTAATCAGACACAAGATCAACAAATAGAGCGACATGTTTGCTCCAAGCAACTGTCACAGTCAACACAGCAAACAGATAAAGTAGTGCAGAATTCCATCCAACAAACCATGACAAATATTCTACAATGAACAGGAAAAATGAGTCTCTTATTATAACGACTCTTTTGATTATTTACCTCCTAAAGCTACAACAATAAAAAGAAGCGTTTATAAAAGTAGGATAAGGGTATGATCAGTAATTGACCTGCATAAGTATATGTGTAAACTGATCCAGAACTAGGCATCATTGCTGCTAATTCTGAGTATGATAAAGACGACAATAAAGCGATAACTCCTGTTATAACAAATGAAATTATGACTGATGGACCAGAATATTTTGCAGCAGCTTGTCCGCTTAATACAAATATTCCAAAACCTGAAAACACAATTCAAAACTCTTACCACACATATTATTTTCAATGTCACTCACCAATAATAGCACCAAGACCAATCGCTAGTAATTGAATCCAACTTAGATCACGTCTCAATTCATTTTGTGTATCAATTTCAGCTTGTAATATTATCATTGGTTTACGTTCAATCAATTGTTTGATGAAAATTTTAGTACAAGACAATACCCGTTTACTAGCATTATTTTTTGATTGGCTGCTTAAATTGTTGTCAATAGCTGTAACAGTAGACATAGATAGTTTTTGATGAATTATAATTGCAGTCTAGCCTGAAAAATTGTCCTTTAATTATATGATTCTAATGTTTTCTTAAGGTATAAATGATTTATAGAAATATATTACGATTAATAAACAAAAATTGGATGAGAAAGAAATAAAAAAAAAATTAAACGCAACTCATTTAATCAATGATGCATAAAAAAACACTTCTTAGCCCACGGTAACCTGTACATGCACAAAATTTCCAATGAAAGATTCAATGAAAAAAGACGCCTTTGTCGATTATTCTGTGTATCATCTCTTCCCTTCGTTCAGTTTCGGTCCTGTTCTTGCGCCTGTATTTTCTCTTGAAAGTGGTGACATGATATGCTTTGAACATTTTTTTTCGACTGTACACATCACAACGGTTGTTGGAATATAGAAATACGTAGACAACAAAAAAAAATATTGTCCCTCTTTCATGTTAGACCATAAATAAAATTTTAATGGGTAAAAATACCTTTCAATACTTCGTTCCATTAGTCAGAATTAATGAGGTGTAATTTATTCAATCATGTGTCCCATTTTTTTGCAGCAGCAGTCCTTAGTTTTTCGAATGATTTTGTTTATTTCTAAATGTTTATTACTAATTTGTGTTCAAAATCAACAATAAAATTCTACTTATTTGATAAACACATTTCTGATATCACACAATATCATAACAGACAAACAAAAGATAAAATACATGGAAGTTCCTTTTTATTCTCTTCGATTTTTCTTCCAGAGACTACCTTTTATTGAGCGTAGAATTTGAAAAAAAATTCGATTTATTTCTGGTATAAAATATATTATAAAAGTAAAGAAATAAACTGCTATGAATTAGAAGTCAAAAACATGCATCTAATCAAGAACAACACTCAATTTAAGTTTGAATGTTGCTTAGATAAATAAAATATTCAGAAGACATTTTAATCCATATTCATATACAAATTCAATCTATAATTGTAATTTTCATTTGTACAAATCAAGCAGATCAATAACAATATTCGAATCGGATATGATTTCTTGAACATGATTTTTGCATAATTTCGTTACTGATTCATTTGATTGATCCAAACAAAAGTAAGTTGACAATGAAGCTATGCAAAATAGAAGAACAGAAAAAAAAATAAATAAAACGATCGATCATGTCTACGTAACTATTGTCATACTTTACCAGTCGTTGATTGATACAAAATAAAACTAATCACAAGTTAATCTAAATTATATAGAAAATTCAACTCAATAAGAATTAACTACTATGCATAATAACCTTTCGTTCTGTATAGGTAGAGACAATGCCAACACGTACTACAAAAATCAAGGCAAATAAAATTTCTATTCAGCAACTCTCACTAGATATACCTTAACCAATGAAAGTTACTAAATCAAATCTTATTGATGATATTGAAATACAACATGAGCCATTATCTATTGGTTCTAATGAAACTAAAATTAATATTAATCCTATGACAATTATTTTAGCTAATGGAAAACTATTATTAACAAATTTTGAAGAAAAATATTTAATAGATGTTATATTAAAAACGTCAAATAAAGATATTGAAATAATTTAGGAAAAAAAAACTTATTTTGTTCTACAAATGAATTATACTTCACAACCATCATTACTTATACTAAATCCACATGGAATATCTGACTTCATTCTTAAACATTTTCAAACTTTTGTCTTTCATATAAATTCTTACAATTATCTGAAAAATTTTACATAATAATAATTCAACAATCCCTTTTTAAAATAGGTAACTAAAAACACTTGTCAACCAACATTGACAAAACAACAACAACAACAACAATAATCGACTGTTTCACAAAAACGCAATTGACTGTTTGATACATTGACAGTAATTAGATTGATTTATGTTTATTGCATTTTTGTTTCAAATATGTCGTTAATATCAAATGCACATTGTATTTACGAATAAAGAATGCTTTTATCATATTTCGAATGAATCATTAGAAGTGAAAGTAATCTAAGATCTGCTTTATTTACGTACACAAAAATTATTGAAAAATCTTTATAAATAAAATGCTGATAGAATACTATTGTAATTTCTCTTGTAATCTTCTTCAAAACTTTTTATTCTTGTTTTCACAAAACAAAACAACAAATATCTAATCAATTTTGTAACTAAGATACTGCGTTTTTTCTCATTTCTGAAAGAACAGTGAGTAATACCATTGTTCTTTTGATATACAAAGTTAATCTTAAGTCTCTTTGTGGGATAAACATTTTAACAAATAGAGAATTATTTATGAGGCTTTGGTGATAAACATCTTATACGACAATATGTTGATATTTTCACTATGGTAAGAATAGTATAAAGAATTATCGAATGATAAGTAAGCTGATTATATAAATAGACCGTAGTTCCGAGTATTTCTTGATGATCACACCGTTCTATTGACTATAATGAATATTGTACTAGCAAGAAAAAACAACTCGAAAATACGTATCAATGAAGTATTTTCACATTATGATATTACCTTCATACAATAGGAAAAAGAATCCCTTATTCTACAACTTTTTTGACTGATCATAACAATGGTAGTTAAATAATAAGATAGTAGCTATTGGATAATAATAATATTAAGAATGACCTTTGTTGCTAAACAAGCAATTCTTTATGCAATTATTGCGCATAACTTTTGTTGAAAAAGTCCATCTTGTGGTCTATATATAGGTATTTGGAATCAATTTGAATCTAAATTGTCATTTATGATAACATAAAGTTATAGTTGATTTATATGAAAATCTCGAATATGATGTCCATGTTTATGATGTTAATGCTTATCATGTTATAATAGTATATATAATGCACTAAATGTTCCACTCTCGTTTTCTGTCTTGTATTGTTCTTCTTGTTTTGGAACACCTGTTATTAAATCCTGGTTTATGATTGAAAATGATCGTATAAGATCGAAAATTTCCACATTATTATAGAATAAAGTAGTCTGATTAAAAACTTCTGCATCTACTCATTTATTTAGATATTGAATATAAATCTCATGTACTATTACTTTCATACAGTTATTCTATCCTATTGGATATTTAAAAAAAAAATGTCATTTTTTCTATGAGTGACCAATAAACAATTTCTTTTGTCATTATTTATATTGGATTAATAATATGATAGTTTATTAAATGAATAATATCTAATATCTTATTTCTATATTCATCCATTCACTTGTTCTATTGATGACGTCAATACATGCAATTATCAGATAAGAGGAGTTACCAACCAATTCAAATTTTTTACTAGCATGATTTATCAAATTGACCAAGCCAATTGTGGAATGCTGGGAGCGAGATGTAGCTTTCCGAGGTCTATCAAATACTGCATTCATGTTTCTTTTTATGAAAGCTAACTGACACAAATAAAAGCTACAATATTGATTTTCTATCATATGGGTTAACCATTAAAGAATGCTTCTCTGTGACTATTCTCTACACTACTTGAATCAATGATAAAACATAGCTCGATGGATGCAATTCGATCAGCTCTATCGGATAGTATATGCTTCTTTCTGTTGAAAGCAAAATTTTGTGATCAGGAACTTTTCTATCTTTCGATGTAAAATATTTTACTTTTTAAATTTGTCTGAATCAGCATACGCTTGCAGAAATCGTTAGATATCAAAAGAAAATAGAAAGATTTGCTGAAGTTATTTTTTATCAACTAAAGGTTTAAAAATTAATTCATCGACAATGATATTATGAAAATATATTTTCGAAATAAAACTTATAAAGAAAAAATGTATCTTTTGTTATTTTGTTACCAATGTGAAAATAAATAAACATTGAAAAATTAGACATGTAGTGCTATAATTTTTTTCCCGTTTTAGTGATGATCAATTCAATAGTAAATTAATTGATTTGTGACAGTGCTGCATCATATTTGAACAGTAATGATTTACTGTTGTTATTAAAGTTTATGTCTTAACGAAGTCCATCGGCATAAAATTTAACAATTAAAATTCTATTTTATTCAATTGTTGGTGAATAACATTCTGATGCAAAGAAAAAATAATCAACTGAATTATTATTAAAATTCAAAAATTTTAGTGTTCAAATAGTCTTTGTTTTTTTCTAACAACACGACACACTATTGATAAAATTGTTTAAACCTATTTTAGAATATCTATTCGAAGATAATTGAGTAAATCACATTTGATTAAGTAGCTTTTGTTTTCAAATAAATTTAAAATTTTCTAAATATAGAAATTTTCCCAGACGAAATTATCACTTTTCTGAGCCCAATGGAAGACATCGATAAATGAAGATGCCTTATAACTCACAAAGTCGGAAGCAGAAAGAATTCATTTTCTAGGGATTCAAATATCTTTTTTATATTATTGTTCGAATGAACCATTTGATTATTTTCTAATAACCTGTCGATTTTCGAAGAATAACTCTGCTTCTTACTCTTTTGTTCAATTTTTTCATTTTCACATAATTTGGGCGAATTGTGATATTTGTTCGGCTTACCATCACAGATAAATATAGTTCTCGATGACACTAAAAATAATTGACATGAATTCAGATACATATTCTGTAAAACAAGGATAGAATATTGTTTCGCTACACTTTTGCATCATCGAATAGAATTTTTACATATTGATTGAAAGGATTTTTATATGGAAGGTTGATAAAAATTTTCTTAAATATGTTTTAGATCTTTCTGAAAGTTTAGGCTAAATCCATTAAGTCTTGATTACAATATTGAAGTTGCAATAGATCAAGATTATCAGACCTATTTTGTTCTGTCTCTAGTAATTTTAAAATATATCATATATTCAAGATGAATAACTACGTTAAGAGAAACTTATAGTCATCTTGAAGTTATTCAACCTATTCATAGGCTTATTGTTGCTGTATTTACCCATGTCGTCAAAATCGCCCAAAAATCGTCGATTTTATCGCGATTTATTGGCCCGATTAATCGTGAGATTATATAGCAATTAATCGCCTAGACTGGTGATTTTTACCAATTTTAGTCCCCGATTTTCGTGAAAAATAGCGATTTTTCTCGATTTTCTTTGCGATTCTTAAATGAAAGCGCGATTATTCAAATAATGTTTCCAACGATCAAACCTGGTCATAGCATTTGAACCTACGACTATGACTAGGTCTCGATCTCTATACCATTGTCGCTCACTATCGTACGCATACATGTTTCTCGTGAAGCAGAGTGTCGGCTTAGCATCATTATTAAATTAATACTAACAGCAATACCTTTGTGTTACCGTCATAAGAGAAAAGTATTGAAATTTGTATCGAATGCTATCATGCTAACGCGAAGTATTCCTGACTAATTTCAATTCTTTTATGTTCCAGTTTTATTTCAAAAGCATTGTAACTACTATTGAATCAATGCAATATTGCATCAATTTAAAAGTAGCTACAATGTTTCTGTATTAAAAATGTCACAAAACAGTATTGAAATTACTCAGGGATACGGCTTCGCTTTAGCATTACATTAATTAATAAAAATTGCAATATTTTTCTCTTAGAATCGTAACAAGTGTTGCTCTTAGCATTAGTCTAATGCTCATGCTAAGTCGATACTCTTACTCGCGAATGAGACAATATTATTCTCCCCATTTGCAGTAAATAAAACAATAAAATAAAACAAAATAATATCTATTATTCATTGAGACCATCGAACGCTCTAAATAAAAACGAATATATGCGTATACAATGATACTTACCCGTTCATTGTGATAACCAGATGACCTCAATAAAAGAATAAAAAATTATTTTATTGAATAATACTTACTGTTTATTGAAATGTTGCGATGGCCTACATAAAAGAAAAAGTTATTTATTTTTATGAATCCATACTTACTGTTTATTAAGATGATCAAACGATCTAAATAAAGAAAAAATATCTATTCGATTAAAATAACACTTAACCTTCATTCAGATGACCTAAATAAAAAAACAATATTTATTTTTATTATTTAATATTTACCGCTCACTATGATTATCATACGATCTAAATAAAACAAAATAACTTAGGATATCTTGGGTCTGGATTCGCGTATTTCCCAACAGGATTCGCTCAGATCGACTTTCCAAAGCTCTAATGGAACTTTCCAAATATATCTTGACGAGATCTATCGATTGCGACCGGTTACACCCTCTCAGAACATTCATAATAACTCCAAAACCCCAAAAAACTGCAAAAATAANCGATTAATTGACAAATTTTTATCATCATTTGATGATGTTGATGTTGGTGAACAACCTTCAATAGTTAATGGTTCGCTTAAATATCCAAGTGGTGTTGGAACATTATCATAAAATGAAAGACGTGTCCAATCATATACATGACACAACGTACTGGACATCCCGTACCAATAACAATTATTTCAGCAATGAAATATTTACGACGTACATCTATTGATAGTGTTGGCATATTTCGTAAACCGTAAGTTAATGAAAAATAAAAAAAAATATTTTTCTATAATATTATTATTTCATCTTCTTATCTATATTTTAACCTTGAAAATATAATGATGTTTGGGTTAATTATGAGAGAGAATCAAATGACAGAAAGATAGTATAAATAACGTTTATTTTCATAGTCATGATTTGAAGGTTGTTAACTAGATATGAATATTACGTTAGGGCATACAACGATATGTAAAAGATTGTTTTATGAGTTTAAATGAATATAACTTATGGTGTAAAAAAGTGTTGGCAAAATATATTCACTCATCTTTCGACGACTTAAATATAGTTAGTTAAAGGCTGAAGCAATTAGTTCGAATAAGACTTTTTCGCTCTTTCCGAATAAATATTGAGAATTTCTTTCTAGAGTAAGATTGAACAATTATTATTAATTCGTTAGTACATCTTACAGATTTTGGCAAGAAATAAAATATGCTTGTAATATCTGAAGCAAAACATTGTTTTTCTAATGATGTTTATATGATTTGACACAGTTCGACATGCTTCAAAAGAATATGAAGATCACAAAAATTCTCATCTTATTTTCAATAGAAAACGTGCAGAAAACAATAAGGACTAATACAAAAAAATTTGATGTATCCAGCATTAGAGAGAGCAACTTGAACTTTTAACAACTTAAGTTAATCTATTGTTGCGTCTGTTTATGCAGACTGAGAAGGTTATTTTAAGTTTTAGTATGTAACATTACATTTCGAAACATCGATTCTCAGTCGATCAACTGATGTTATTGAAAGTTAGGCGTACTATCTCATGCAACACATGTGAAAATTTAATTAGTCTGTCTGGTTTTCTCCACATTTTCTATTGGAAATAACATCAGAAGTTTTTCTTTTTTTTGATATTCATATTCTTGTAGATCTTGTTGAACCATATAAAAATCTTTCGAAAAATAATATATCATTTCAGTCGTTATAAACATATTTTATTTTTGCAAAAAATGTAAGATATAAAATGCTTAGTTATGTTTAATAAATAAACCATAACTTTTCATGATGTCGATGAAATTGAATTTATTTCCTTTTCAAATAATAGTTTATTCTTTATCTATAGAGCTGTCTATTTTAGTCAACAACTATCGACATATCTATTTGTATACATCATACCAATTTTCAGAGAGGAGTCGAAAATTTTGCACTACTCTTTAGTACCTTAGTAGAATGGCGTAAATAAGATTTCGTTTAGTTGTTATATCTCATTTTGTACCGAAGTCAGTACTCTCAACAAATATTGAATTGAACCTGTTCCACGAAAGAAACAAAGGTCTCTGCCAAAACTGCTATTTTGCTTGATAAAGGTAGAGATTTGAACATTTGCATAAAATTTACTAATCGCTTTTCAATCTTACGCTAGAAATAGTGAAGAATTCTAATTTGGGTTCTCACCCGTGGTGTTTTAATGACCAAAAATGATTGAACAATTTATGCCAAGACTTTCGCGCCGTAGGTTATTTCTTACATTGTATTCTAAAATGTTAAATAGTTCCGCAGATGTCCCAACCGAGACACTCACTCCCTCCAATCTTGAGAAATTTTCGTCTGTTTTGTCTCACAAATCTTTTAAAAAAAGCTCGGTCTCCATAAATCTGACCAATCGTAGCAAAAATCTTCGATTCATCCCTCAATCCTGAAGACCTCGGGACACTTCTGAATAGTTCGATATAACTTCTGGTCAATTCCTAGGCAACTTTCACAATAAAATCCATTCATTGATGTTTCTAAGAAAAATAAAATTGAAAGGGAAGCATCCGAATAAAACAATTATAATTCACTTCTATCGAGTAATGAATCTGTTTTTTTTTCATTTAGTGGTGTATCTCATCGTATAAAACGTCTTCATGATTTAATAGAATCTGATCTTGACTTTCATAAATTTGATGATTTTAGTCCATATGATGTATCCGATGTATTAAAACAATATTATCGCTTTTTACCTGAATGTTTATTTACAACAAAATTATCTCCTTTGTTTCTTCATATAAATGATCATTTTTCATCTCCTGATAAAACTTTTACAAAAATAAATAATGAACGTCGTTTACTCGCTTTACAATATGCTATTCTTTTATTACCTGATGAAAATCGTCTTGTTTTACATTTACTTTTATCATTTTTAAATGATGTTTCAAAGCATTCGAAAACAAATCAAATGAGTTCAATTAATCTTGCAACATGTTTTGCTCCAACATTATTTTCATTTAATAATTGTAATAAAATTTCATCAAATGGTGTGCCTGATTCAAGAGAAATTCAAGAACAACGCAAAGCAATGGATATACTTGCATTTATGATTGATCATGTTCGTTTATTATTTATTGTACCTAATGAATTACATCAAGCATGTCATTTTTCTTATATTGAAATTGGTGAACCATGTACACTTGAAGAATTATCACGTCGTATTATAGATCCAACAATAATCGGTCCAAGTGTTAATAAATATCATCGTTATTTATTAAGTAAACGTACAATACAACAACATGCTAAAGAAATAGGTACCATATCAGCATCAGATTCTATTGGTTCATTATCATCATCATCATGTGAAAATATACTTTTAAATGTTAATAATAATAATAATAATAATAATAATAACAATGTAAAATTAATTAAAACAAAAATGAATACATCATATCAAAATTTTATTGATCGTTGTATAATTGAAGTAATGCGTGAATCATGCTATACAAAATTAAAAGGATGGACATCATTTGGAAAAAATAATGAGATAGAATTAGCATGTAAAAAATTAGATGATGGACATCCACTTAGTTTATGGAAATGTTCAATTGAAATTGAAGCACCACCTATTGAAATTCTTAATCGACTTTTAAATGAAAGACATTTATGGGATGATGGTTTGTATTGATGATTTTAATATGCTTTAATTATGTTGTATCCCATCATTGCTCAGTGAACAGATAAAAAAAAGTCGGTCATATAAAGTTAATAGAAGAGAGCGAGTACATAAAAAATAGTACAAGATTATAAACAAGATAATTTCAATCGCGAATATAGAAAACAAATAAAGAATAATAAAATAATTGACAACGAAACCAAAACTTTAAAATATGAATATATCATTCACAAAACAATCTAATTTGATGTAGATTTAAAGCCATACCTGTCGCCTTCAGAGTTGTTACGTACATATTGCTTCTAACGAAGGAACATACCCAACTGTCGGACGCTATTCAACTTCATATTATGGCTACGAGTAGATTTCAATGACACTAAGACAAGTTTAAAAAGATTCGAATCCATGGCCTACTCATAAAGATTTATAGATGATGTAAGGAAATTTTTCCTAAGAGCACGATATGACCGCAAATTCCAAAACAGAGTTTCGACCTGAAATTTGACCTATATGCACGTTTTCGGTTTACCGTACAAGTACACAATAATCGAGTATCTCGAGAAAGACATGTTAATTTTTGTTGACACTTTCTGAAAATCTAATGGATATCAAACATGTTTATAGGTCAAATTTCAGGTCGAAAACTTTGTTTTGGATTTTTCGGTAATGTGTGGCTCTCTCAGGAAAAATTTTATTAAAACATACATAACTCTATATCATGAAAAGTGTCTATTAGTTGAGTTTGTTTTCTGGTAAAACACTGATTAAAGGTTCTCTGATGACCCAAACTCAAATTATCTCTACCTATCATAAGAACTCCCTTAAAATGTCTCCAGTAAAGTTATGATCGGACCAATTTGCTAAACAATATCAAAAATTTTTAATTATAACAAAAGAAGCTCTGTGCAAGTTTTCCTTTTGAAGGAATAGTAAGATAGAAATAAACGGAACAGACTCAAACAAAGCATAAGAAAATTAAAATTATAAAAAAATTTGTTGACATAATTGAGTAGTATTTTGTTGTTCGTGATTAAAGAAGTTTTTAGTATTTTTTTTTTTTTATACAACGAAGCAGAAATAATAGTAAGAACTGATTCTTTGAAGTTATGACTTCATTTGAATAATAAATCTTGTGAATAATAAGATTAGTTTCACTATATTTTATATTTTCATATCAATGAATATTTAAATAGTATATTATTATAGATTTTCAATCTGGAACCATTATCGAAAAATTAAATCGTAATACACATGTTTATCAGTATACTATCAATTCAATGGTAACTAATTCTAAAACAAAAGAAAAAAAGATTAATGATTTCTTTTTTTGTAAAATTCTTCTAGGCTCCTCTAGCATCTCGATACTTTTGTGAAGTACGTAGTTGGAGAACAAATATTCAATTAAATACAGATTGCAATTATCAACGTAATATATTATTAACAAATCGTCCTGTTGGTGCATCATTATCGACTTCATCAAGTGCTATTGGATCATTTATTTCAACACAAAATCATCAACGACGAGAAGCTTGTGTTCTTGTTTGTACATCTATTGAACATCCGAAAGCGCATTGTCCACCTAAACTTGGTATATTTTAATATTAGATTTAAAAAAATCAGATTTTAATTTTTATTCGCTATTCTTTTTAGTTCGTGCAGTTACATTGGCTTCACGATATTTAATTCAATCTTATGGTTCGTGTTTCTTTTTTTTTTTGTTACTATTTATGTAATAAGTATTTTTTGCAATACTATTTTTTTAGGATGTGGAAAATCTAAAGTAACACATTTAAGTCGTGTTGATTTAATGGGACGTTCTCATGACTGGTATTCAAAAGTTTACGGTTCAATATTAACTCGATCGATGATGAAACTTCGCGATTCCTTTGTTCATATAAATACAGGACCTGAAACAAAAGTCTGATTTCATTCGTTATTTATCTCTTAACTTCTATTGTTATTGTATATGATCTAAGTATATGTATTATGCAAATAATTAATTTTTTTATTGGAATAGATGCATTTTTTTTTGTCTGTTTCATATTGTTTTCTTTTTGTATAGTTAACGAATATTTTGAATGAGAGCGAACAAAATAAAAAAAAACAGAATCTCATTTACTTATTTAAAACAATAGACTGGAGAACTATGAGGTGAACTTTAAAAAATAATATTCTTATGCGAATGTTAGTGTCCAAAGTCAGGCTCACCTAGGTCAATCTAGGGTCTCACTTTGGTCTAGAGCTGGTCGCGTTGATCTTGGACCCGGGTGTGAAATTTTACTTTTGAAAAAAACTCAATGTCTAGTCACAAGCAAATAACATGAAAAAACAATGAAGGATGAGGATACACTTGATCTTTTCGCTCTACTCTCACACTTATATTTACAAGCGACATACAAAATAAATTTTTTTAAAAACTTTTTCGACGTTTGTTTTAGCATAAACGATGATTCTATTTCATCCAAATGTGTCTATTCCAATTTCTATTCAATACCTTATTTTCACTGAGCAAACAGCTCCATATGAAATGCAATACACTTAGTCTTGAATTCAGCATTGTCCGTATTAACCTTTCAATCTGAGATTTACCTAAAATGTTCGTGCAAATCTTAGATTTAACGTATTATGACTTAGTCCGAGGACGAACTGATACAATGTCGGATCCTAGATTAGATGCGTCCAATGTGAGATCTCAGATTGGCCTAGAAGAAGGATCTGAAATTGAAACGTTAGCATGCATATATGAAAGTTGGTAGTTTCTTGTAATTTTTAAATGTGATATCTTTATATCGATTGACAAATGTTGAATAATTTGTTTGTTCTTATTTCTTTTAACTCTATCACATTTTTAGACAAAACGATGTAATAATATTTAAAAATGAAAAAGATTAATTTTAATCGGAATCATCAGGTGAATGTTCAGATACGCTCCAACCTGACATTCTTCGATTATTAGTTGAAGCCATATTTGTCAATAAAGTTGATGATGGAGTTGATCTTGCAGATGATGGTTGTATTAGAGTCTTTGCTGATTGACGATTAGTAACAGCATCAGTATCTGTATGATGTTTTATTGTTACTGGTGATGATATATTTTTTGATAATGGTGGAGAACGAACTTTCGAATCAGGTGATCGTGAGAAAATACCAGTTTCAAAAAAGTTGGGTGCTTTAAATCGTTTAGCATTTGTTTCATCATCACTTAAAATTATAGGTCGTACAGGTGATTGATGTTCAATAGTATCACTATTATTATCTTTAATTGGTTGAAAAAGATTTCGTCGAAATGTACTTGAACCAAGTCGTGTTGATATTGTATCATTTGGTATCAAAGGAGTTAATTGTCGCGAACTGGATACATCTGATGCTGATTCAAACCAATCATCAACAGCATCATCTGTTTTTTCCACAGATCGAGCAGATAGTTGAGGTTCTAATGAATAGGTTATTGGTATAGCTAAAACAAAAAATTGCAAAAAATTTCAATGCTTTTTAAAATGAATAAACTAACAAGAAACTTGTTGAGAATGAACCATTGATTGATTCTCTTGTTCATTTAATACATTTCCACATACTTTACATATTAAACTTCCATCATCTTTTCTTAATGATGATCGAAAATCTGTTGTTGGTCGTCCACGTAAATAAGACGTATTTGTAAGTGATGGCATTAATTTATTTTTTTGTCTTCCACGATAACGTGGTTTTCTCGATTGAAATATATTTTCATCATTTAAAATGTCCTCTTCTTCTTTTGATTTAGCAATTGGTTTATATGGTAATTTAGTACTAGTTGTTTCTGTTGGTACAACTTGTGATAATGTTTGTTGTTGTGAAATTTCTTCTGGTTTAGAAGAAATCTCTAAAGAAAATTGTTCTTTTTCACGTTCAGATTTTGCTAATTCTGCAAGTTTTTCTCGATGTAAACGACGATCATTTTCAATACGAATTTGTTGTTTATATTTAATTAATTGTAATATAGATGGTTCATCATGTGTTTCTGCATTTTGAAGATCTTCGGAAACTGTATTAATTGATACATTTGCTGTTGATTTTGTTTTTATTGGTTTAATTAATTCTTCTTCGAGTATATCACGATCTGAACGAATATCTTTTCCCATTTTAACAACTTGTTGACTTAAACGATTAGCAAAGACAAGATTTTTTAAATTTAATTCGGGTGCTTGTCTTGAACTACTAGTCTGAAAAAAAACAAAGAATATAAATAAAAGTTTTAATTTAAAATATAATCAAAACTAATCATTTTTACATCTTGTTTAAGTAAATCAGTAAAAGCTGAACCAACTGTTGGTATTGTAACAATTCCACTAGCTTGACTTTGAGTAGATGAACGACGTTCAGTTTGTATATCTTTTATACTCTCATTATGCACATCAGAATGTGGTGAAGTCATTGATTGTAATTGTAAATTATTAGCCAAAGTTTTTGGAACAATACCAATATTATCTGTTGATGTTTTAAATGATTTAGGAAATTTTTTTTGAAGATGTTCAACTAATGCTACAGCTGGATCAGGTGGCATACGTCGAGTAAGAATTTGTGTTAATTCTTTAAATAAATTTTCGATATTATGTTGTCGCCAATAATCTTCTACTTTAGACGATGACTTAGCCATTGTAATTATCGTATTATATATGTTAGTGAGTTACGGAATAGTTCTTAAAGTATTGGAAGCCATTAATCATGTTCTATGACTTAGATTGTCAACAGAGAACCATTATAATGACACATAGGCATGTGACGACAGAACGGGTATTTTACCTGGCGACATCATCCGAATGCAGTGATGGATTTAGACGAGGGCGCTATGCGGCGATCGATGTTTTCTTAGCAAAACTTTTCTTTAATTTGTTTCAGTAAAGGAGTCGATATTATCTCAAATGAACTGTAAAAAAACGTGTTTTGATCATCAACTATCTATTTTATATTGAAGCTCTTTCGTTGAATAAAATTCTAGATCTATTGTTGTCCAAAAGAAGACTTAGATCAGTAAAATAAAACATTAGAACTTCGAATTTTCAGCTTCTAAACAAAACCAATAAGGGATTAATCATGATATATTAAAAGGAGATCTATGATTATTGACATTAAACTCTTAACTTGCCAAGGATCATTCATTCAGTGTTCATTAATTAATATAAAACTTCTTTTAGAAAATGTTTTCAGTGGCTAAATATACATATTTATATATTTGCTGTCTAAAAGACAAAATTAGTGATCACATGTAAAAAATAAAAATAACAAAAAATGATTGAAATAGAACAATAAAAAAAAATTTGATGAGAAATAATTCGCATGATTTTTTATCTCAACGATAGTTGTTCTAATTTCTTTTGTTTCATTGTATGATGCTGACGTTAGTTCAATTAATGTTGAATTTTCAATCAAAATTTCTACTTCAGTTTGATTGATACTTGATAAGATCATTAGAATATTTGTCGAATTAATGATCAATGATGTTATTGTTGTAGTTATTGTTGTTGTTGTTATTGTCATTATTGTACTGTTAGAAGTACTCTTAGTTGAATTAAGTACGCTTGCATGAATTGAATTTACTCGTGGTTGACTTGATATCTGTTGAAAACGTTGGCATATTGCAAAATCTTGATTACACATTGGCTGTTGACATGTACAATATGTATAATTTGTTTGTTCTTGTTCACCAAATGTTAAACATTCATAATAATAAGTTAAATCAGTTTCTATACGTATACGACAACTACGACATTGTTTATAAATTTCAAGTGAATAATAACTTGTATTAGAACCATGATAACATGAAAAATAACGTTTTGATACTATTTCATGAATACATCGTTGAATGTTTAAATTACATTGATTTGAATTACAATAACAATGTGTTTTATCATAACCATATAATGGACCATCAGATTCATGAGCACATTTTTGATGAATTATAGTATTACTATAACGACGATAACGGTTTTTTTCATTATAGAAAAATAATCCTTTTATTGATGGTTTATTATCTATAATCATTTTTTTTGATGATATTGTTCTATTAATATTTCTATCAATAAAAATAATACATGCACGACAGTTTTCAATTAATTGAACAGTTCCATTAATATCTTCATAACAACGTAGATCTGTCATATAGATAATTTTTATTAGAGAAACTATTAATAAAACTGATAACCAAATTGAATACATAGATAAATTTAAGAGAAAACTTTCGTCGTTGTTGGTATATATGTAGAAACTTACATAACATATATAGTATGACGGCAAAAAAAAGATGAGACAGTACAAGGAAGTGATAATGATCGATGAACTTCTCAATCTAAGATTAACATACACTAGGTAACAGAATGTAAGTGCATTGCGTTTTTCTTTTTCCTTCGTTTTCGATTTGTTTGTTCAAAGATTGCTATTTGATGTGTCATGTATCTTGTCACATTACATATTTATCTTGAACTCTCTATCAAATTATCTGTCATGTTAAAAACAAATATCAGACAATGAACATTCCAATTATTTTCAAGGATATAATTATCAAAAAAGAAAATTGATTTTGCAAATCTTTGCAACATCTATCTTATTAGTAAGAGAGTTGCCTTCAACATAAGACTTGAAAAATAGTTGATATATATGTTAATGGAATTTGCTCAGCGCGCATTTATCAATGATCCATACGTTGTTGTCCTTGCTTAAATTATTATGTGCCTGGTTTTTCTTTTCTTATACTACAAATGTCCAACCTTGACTTGTATTAGGAAAAAAAGAAGAAAAATTGTTGATAGTAATACTTTGCTTTTCGCACAAACCAAAGGCGTAGAAAGACAGAAATTGTCTTTTCTGTCTATGAATCTGTTTTTTTATCTTTTTATGGCGATATGAAGATGACACACATACGTAGTTCGAACAGGTGACTTGAAGGCGTGTATGATGGAGAAAAAAACCGTATCAGCCAATTTTTCCTTTCTTATTTTTTCGTCCATACATCTCTAACAATACTATCTCAAGAGCGAACCAACGATTGATTCACAAATGCATTCTTTTTTGTCAATGGCATTGATGAGTGTTAAAGTAGTACATCAAATAGAAATGACATGCTTTTCATGTCTATTTGTTAACCACACATATGAAGAGTTGCGGTATGCGTCTGTATTCAGACTATAAAAAAAAACGAAGGGCATCAAAAGGAGAGAAATCGATTGGAAGGAAACAAGGGAAAAGACCCAATGGATGGGGGGGGGGGGCTTTTTTTGCTTAGTGAATGTCAAGTTATCTGTTTTGTCATCATGCTATACATATATTCTGCTAGAGGGGAAATGAAGAGAAAGAAAAAGAGACCCATCTCCTCCTTCAGAAAGCGCGATACCATCATACTGCTATCACCGTGCTGTATCAACAACAGTAGTTTCATCATCATCGTCATCTGTAGTTGTTATTATTATTATTATTATTATTATTATTATTGTTGTAGTTCTGCTCTCTGCTCTTACTATCATCGTTGTATATGTATCTGCGTTCCAGAGATCTCTTTTTCTTTCATTGTCGTTCGTTCTTATTCTCCTCATATATCTGACGTGTTTATTAGTATTTTCAATACTTCTCTGTTTTTTTTTTGTTCTTTTTTTCCTTCTTTCGCATGCGTACTATTCCTCGTTCTTGTATCGTACGCCTACGTTGCAATAAGTTGAGGAAGACGACGACAGCGACTGACGACAATTCCTTCCGTATTCTTCTTCCTGCATCTCTTTCTCTCTCTCCCTCTCTCTCTCTTTTGGTCTTCATATTCGTCTTTTTCTTTTTCTTTGCCTGCTGCTGCCTGAAATCTGCCTGTTTGTGTGTAAAAGAGAAAGAGAGCAAGAAAGCCCATCCAACGTGTGTAATGCGCGCACAACCCAGAGCAAAAATAAATAAATAGGCACGCGCGACATAAAACCCTGAGACTACCAAGTCTTTCTTTCTCTTTCTTGTTCGTTTTCTTTCTGATCATCCTCTATCTAGGTTTGGAATAAGCTCTTTTTAACACACGCACTCGTGTGTGATGCAATTTCAAGTATAGTTTATATGTATATTAACTTTTTTTCTTTTGAGTCGGTAAAAAAGAAACGAAGCGCTTAGATCGAGCTTTTAATACCGTTATTATATACCAGTAGAGAAGAAAAAAAACCTGTATTGACAATTGATGGGTAATGATGTGTGTGATCGGAAAACCTATGAAGTTCATTGCTTTTTTTGCTCCCTCTAATGTGTATACTAAAATATTCCTGTCATTCTGATTGAGAATACGTAATTCATACCATGTTTTTCTTTTGTCTACATTTATGTTTATAGATGAGAAGAAAAAAAAATAAGCGTGCCATGACTATAGAAAATAATTAATAAGCAACAGGAAGATTTGCTTGAGATTTTGATCTTTCAGGCAAAAAAAAAATATAGTGTGCGTGCTTGTCTTATATGTGATTTCCGTTTTTTCCATCAGCCCACTTATTCACTTATTCAGTTTATTCTAGCCTAAGCGTGCATGGCAGCATCATTGTGCACCGTCGTGTTTTGCTGGGAATCAATCAACTTGTGAAGACGACACATTGAAAATTACCACTATTACTACTCGTCACAACATCATTGTTGCGCCGTCAACCTTCTTATTCTTCTCCTCCTTCATCCTCATTTTCTTCGTCTACAATTACTATTAGTAAAAACACTTTTGTGTGACCCCCTGCCACTTGTTCGTTTTCAATATTCTCCTTTTGCCATCATCAACATCGTCGTTGTTGTCGATGTTGCTGCTGTTGTTACTAAGGTTGATTATTATTGAACGGACTCCCGGATGAGCGTCGGAGTGAATGGAGGCCGTTTTGATTTTGATGACGGCGGTACTTATTGTGGAGGATGGAATGATGGAAAAGCACATGGACACGGTGTATGTACAGGACCAAAAGGACAAGGTGAATATGCGGGCGCATGGCAATACGGCTATGAATTTTCGGGCATCTATTTATGGGTAAATAAATACTACATTTATCTATTCATGTGATCTAGTAATAATTACATACATATATATGTATATGAGTATATGTATATTTTAGCCGTCAGGAAACTCTTATGAAGGACAGTGGATGAGTGGAAAGCGACATGGATTGGGTGTTGAAAAGAAAGGAAGATGGGTTTATAAAGGCGAATGGACACAAGGTTTTAAAGGACGATATGGTATTCGTGTATCAGAAATTTCAGGTGCTAGATATGAGGGTACATGGGCAAATGGACTTCAAGATGGTTATGGCGTTGAAATATATGCCGATGGAGGTGTTTATCATGGGCAGATACAACAAGGTCTTCGTCATGGTTATGGTATACGACGAAGTGTACCCTATGGTATAGCATCACGTTATCGATCAAAAGATGTACGAGACTCTTTAACATCACTTCGTTCAGAAGATGATGAAGAACGAATACAGCGTAAATATTTTTTTCCTTTCTTTTTTCTTTTCTTTTTTTCTATTTATATTAAAATAGGTGAACGAGATAAACGTATGGATGAAAATCGTGGTGGATTTGTTCTTCGTTCAAGATCAGATCCACATGATTTATCATCACGTAGTGTTAGTCAAGGTCCGCATCGTGGTTCATTATCAAATAGTGCTGACCATCGTCCATCATTACGTAAAACACTTTTAGCAAAATTACGTAAACAAAAATCTACAAGTGATATTGAAGATAGATCAACAACAAAAAAAACAAGTTCATTTCGCTCAACAGCAAGTTCAACAAGTGGTGATTCAAAACATTCAGTTAAAACAGCTACAATAATGTCATCACATGCAACTACACCCAATTCAACAGGTACATTTGATGATGGTGATCATTCATTTATATCTCAGGAAGATATACTTGATAATAATGTTGTTGAAACATATATGGGAGAATGGAAAGGTGATAAACGTAGTGGTTTTGGTATAGCTGAACGTTCTGATGGTTTAAAATATGAAGGTGAATGGTTTAATAACAAAAAGAATGGTTATGGCGTGACGACATTTCGTGATGGTACAAAGGAGGAGGGAAAATATAAAAATAATGTTTTAGTAACTGACAAGCGTAAACCAAGTAAATTATTTTTACTTCGTTCATCAAAATTACGTGATAAACTTGATGCAGCTCTTAATAATGCAATGAAAGGTGCAACAAATGCCCAACAAAAGGCTGAAATAGCAATGGCGAGGTAAAACAAATTTCTTTCTTTGTTTTTTTTTGGTTTTTTGATAATGAAAATAATGTTTTCTTTTTATTTTCTTAGAGCAAATAATGCTCGCTCAAAAGCTCATTCAGCTGAAATCTATGCAAAACAAGCTCGAAATGATAGTGTCGAAGCTCGAGCAAGTGCTAAAGCAGCTGCACCCGATTTTCGTCAACCAGGTAAAAATAAAAAACGAACAAATTTAATAAAATAATTTCATCGATTTGTTTTTTCTTTTTTCTTCTTAGGGGAAGAAAAACCACAACCATTCATATTATTAGATATTGATCGACAACTTGATGGAAAATTGGTCACTAGTAATCATATTAATATGAGTTCACCTAATGGTCGTTTACCAATGTCATTAAACTATACACCAAATACATCAATGCCATTACCACTACATCTTCCTCAACATCAAACAAATTCAGTAGCATCACCAGCATTTATACTTGATGGTGGTGTTTATCAAGGTCAATCAGCACCAACAAAATCAGATAATTGGAATCCAAATACAAGAGTAAAATTTATTTAAAATTATAAATTTAGTATAGAATTTTTTTGTTTCTAACTAATATTTAGATTATTGGACAACCATTTCCTATTCAACAACAACAACAACAACAACAACTGCGTCCTGATTACTTTCATCAACCTAACAAAAATATGTCTCCAATAATCTATAATAATATGCCCGAGTCACGCACAGGTTTGCTTAGAAGAGTTTTAAAAATTAAAGTTTAATCAATCAGAAAAAAAATTTTTTTTTCTTTCTTTCGAACGATTTCCATTTGAGCAATTTTTATATTAAATAAGTGCTTCTTTCTTTTCAAGGTATTTCCGTGTCTAAACAATATTCTCATTTAAATCAACCATTATCCGGTGATACTTCAATACCGGGAAATTTAAGTTTTGATGAAGATCGTGCTACAACTATGTCGACTAGTTATGACTCAGCATCATCGCCAATTTCACCTCCTTCACAATTTGTACCGAATGCCGTCGGTATAGGTCCTCGTTCAGTACCGAAACGATCAACATTTATAAGAACACGTCATTTCGATACATCAGCAGACGATCTAATACATGATCAACATCAGCACCATCAGCACCATCATCATCAACAACAACAACAAAATGAATATAGTTCTCCATCACCGAATCTTTATGCTCCTCAAAATATACGACATACACCAAATATTCGAACAAAAACAACATCTATGTCCGGAAATAATTTTAATATTCGACCTCCTCTTATTCATGGTGTTCCAGATTCTCAAAATTCAAGTGGTCAAGATTCTGGTTTAAGTTCTGGTGGTGCTAGTTTCGATCCTGAGCAACATCATACATATAATATAGGTAATCCAACAAATACAATACGATCAGCAACACCAATTATTGATGTATACGATGTTCCACTACCAATTCCTCTACCTAAACGAAAATCTTTACCAAGTATTGTTAAAGCTCTACCTGGTGATTATAAAATTGATGAAACAGCTCGATCAAGTGATAATTTAAAAGAAAAAGAAACATTTATTATTGAAAATGGTATACGTAAACGTGTTACAGCACAAATACCAACTTATACAGAAAGTGGTTCAATTATGCCACAAGGAACTATAATGACGAGTAGTAGTGGTTCACCCATACTTGCTCATCGTGTTATTCTTGAAAGTATTACAAAATTAGATGAACCTAAATCAACTATAACTAATACCGGTGGAAATAAACGTGGCAGTATGCCGACAGTCGTCAATATAGCTCGACATCGACAAGAAGCTCCTAGTAAATTTATTTTAAAAAATCGAAATTATTTTTAAAATAGCAAATTCTTTTTGTTTTTTTTTCTTTCTTGTTAAGGTATATCAAGAGAAGAAGCATCAAAGCTTGGTTCTCAACGTCGAGAAGAATTGCGACGTCAGCGTGATTTCGATTCAACAGCTATTGGCCGTGTTAAAGTTTTATTACAGGTATGATCAAAAGAAAAAACAATTTTGCATGTTAAACAAATCTATGCACAGTATTTTGAATATCCTTTTTGTCCTAAGATACATAGACATATATTTATCCTTTTTTCGAGTAAACTAGACGGTAAACTAAAACTTCCCATCCATCATTGTAAATCAGTCATTAAGTTTCTGTCTGCTTGTGTTGCCTACCATTTGCAATTGATCTTTTCCTTTTATCCTTGTATTTTTTCTGTCCTCATGATCTATTAGAAATAAGTATTCGCCTCGTTGAATCCCAGTAATGTTAACTGCTGTTGATGATTAACATCGATTGCATGCATATTAACGTATATCTGAAAGAAGCATTAAAAGAGTAATAGGGCAAGAAAAAAACAGTATAAAGAAAATTTCTTGAGTTCGATCAATATTAAACGTGTATCATGGGAAAGATTGATCAATAAGTTATATCTCTAGAGATAAAAACTAGTTTTGCATGTGCATGTTTTGCAGTCTGATATTCCTGCTACTGGCCCAACTATCATTACCAATATGCATGTATCTACCCAAGAGATATCGATACAAACAGACGATTACAATGATGGCATTCAGGTATAAGATTTATTTTTCTTATTAACTATAACTATATATGTTATTGTATGAATTTCCTTTGTTTTGTTTTTTTCTAGAATGTCATCTATCGAAATCGAGTGTTTATTGCCATATTTTTTCTAAATTTATCCCTTGCTCTTTGGTTTATTCAATTGTTGAGATGATATGATGATGTTTGTTACCCATTATCGTTCGGTTTTTTTTCTGGCTTTTTTCTTTTTCTCTCCATCTTGTCTTCTTTTTTTGTGCGTATCTCTATGTATACAGCTCAAGGTTTTCTGTGGCCTACTGCAACTAATACTATTTTATAGCCGATAAACAACTAACAACGAAGATCTCTTCCTTTCTCCTCTCTTCTATTCTTTCGTCGTATGTGCGTGTATGTATAGCAAAGAAAGAAAAGATTATTGTTTTATTAAGATACGACAATAAGATGATGATGATGATGATGGCGATTTTAGGATTGTTATTTTGTTGCGAGCACACCATGTCCTTTCTTCTTTTATTTCTTATTGATGCACTTCCGTATATGGCGCGAGGGGGGTTGTATAATGCACTCATTTTTTTTCCTATCTTTTACGCTCTCTTGTTCCTGTATGATAGACACAAGCAAAAGAAAAAAAGAGAAAAAAAACTTGAGTTTTTCTTTTTTTGCATTTGTATTTTGTTTTTCTTTTTTTTGTTCAATTTGTATACCATATATACACAAAAAAAAAAGAGAGAATTATTCTCGTTTTAACAATGGTAACACACAAATAATTTTGATGTCACTTCGATAAACGATATTTCATACAATACTTTTGATTGCAATCTTATAGAAAAAAAAAAGACAAAGAAACTATTATATACAATATTAGCAAACGGAAAAAATATATATTTTATTATCTTATCCTTGAATGATTTTGATGATGTTATTGAAAAATCGTACAGCTGCAAGAAAAGCAAAAACAAAGAAAGAATAGCAACAATATAAATATTTGTTATGTTTATAACAGTTATTGAAATATAATCATACAATTGAACAATTTATAATATTTCGAATCAAATTTTTGATTTGGTCTGAATAGATCATCTCTATGTAAATTAGGAACAAAAAGAAAATTAACAAATAGCTTCTTGATAAAGTATATCAAAGTTTTGTGAAGCTCATTTTAAATAATTATGATAAAGCTTTAGTATATAATACCAAATGTTCTGTAGAACGTTGACAGATGAAATGCAAAGTATTCATAGTATAGGCTGACAGTAATTAATTTATGTGACAGCCGAAAAGAGAATTAACAAGTTAGATATATCCATTAACAAAGATCAAATTCTTGTCAATATGACATCAAGTCACGAAGTATATGATACTCTAGTAAAAACATTACTAGTTTTTAAAATGAAAAAAAGAAAAACGCTGCAAATTCTTTTAGGATAATTATTAAAAGAATTCGCATCGTTTTACTTCCTATTATTTTATATAAATAATACATCAATGGTTAAAACAATGCTTAGAATTTTTTTCTACTCTCTTAATGAATAATTCGCAAGGGTTTGTATTGTATAATGATTATTACATACTTTTAGAATCTAATTTGATAAAGAAAATAGTCACTATTTCCATATCTCGAATTATTTTTGAATATTTTTACACTGTTGATTATGATTATACATTGGAATAAAACAAGAAATTATAAAATGTGCATTATCGAATCAATTTTCAAATGTCTTCTGTAGATTCATATATTGAAAGTGACGATGATCAATAATTCATCAATGAATATTAAGTCTATTAAGAATAATATCGTCATTAACATTCATAAGAAAAACATTATTCTAATAAAATACTTTTTTTCATGAATTGATAGATGTTAGGAAAAAAAACCTATAAAGTATTATAAAGAACCAAAAGAAACAATATATTATTTCTAAATATAATATGTTTGTTAATGCTGCATTAGAATATAGTGTAAGATCACCGAAAGCTATAGACAAAGTATTAAATATTTAAACACGTTTCAGGTAAGTCAAGAGAATAAAGTAATATATTCCTTTAATCCTTATTTTTAATATAAGCTAGTTTTTGAAAAAAATCTTCATAAATTTATCAATTTAATTATTGTCAATTAAATCTTTTTAATTTCTATTTTGTTTTCATTACAGTTGAAACATATTTGCTTGTTTTTTCTAAAATAACAGTAAACTCATGTGAAATAATTAGTATTGAAAATTTTCTCATAGATTTATTTTATATAGAAACAAAACTTTGAGATTATTTTTCTTTTGTAGAAAAATTTGAACATATCATAGTGAAGTCACAAAACTGTCCTATATTATTATAAAAAAACAAAACTGCAATCAAAAGAACAGTCTTGTATCTTTCGTCAGATTAGTATTTCATGTAAGATAAATACAAAGAAAATATGAAATGCTTTCATCAACAGTCTATATATCTTCCTGAATTAATGAAGATCTTTTGCTTCTAGATTACATACTATTTTTGGATCCGTTTAACTGATAATGAAATCAACAGAATACATAAAGGACATTTACATACGTCATCAGCATATTATTTTTCCTTTCTATGCTTTTTAAATCAATTATACTGGTCGCGAGATAATCGAGCAAAAGATGAATAACAAGAGACAACAATAATAACAACAACAGCAAAAATACATAAGAAAAGTATTCTTTATACATCCGAATGCTTTTGACATACGTCGAAAAGCAAAAGTACGCATGATAAGATAAAATTGTGCATATTTGGAAATCAATTTTATTCATTTTTTGTTATTAAGAACAAGTAACTACTATTCTGAAATCATTAATTGGTATGTAAATAAGGAACTCTTGAGAGAACAGGAAATTACAGATCTCTATAAAAAATGTTTTGTCATTGTCATAAATATTTCTATAATGGCAATTGGTAATACCTCATTCATTTGCTCCAGTGACTACTAGAACGTTTTGACATTGTAAGCATAGATTTTCACAAGTTAATTTTAGAAAAGAAAAATCCTAAAGAAATTTGATTCTTATTTTTTGTTCATTATGGAGAAAATGTGAAACAAGTAGACGGATGCAATAGCGGATCTTTTCTGTCATATATGTCCCAATGTATATATATACTTCAGTCATCTTCCTTCTTCTTGTCATACCATTTGTTATTTCAACATCATATACACAATACAAACAATTACCAAATGTTGTTCTTTGTCCAGACTCGTACGATACAAGTATTCTATAGATAAAAAGATATGAATAATATTGACTGAGAACAGATACCGAAAGGATGGGATAATGCATTGCGTGATTAGTTATAATTATGCATCAGTTATGAATGCATTTTATTTAAATGACATTTCGAGTGAAATCGCTATAAGAGATGTTGACAACTATCGAGCAGTCGACAGCTTTGGCATTTTATGTCCTCAAGATAACCTGTCATGAATCTTTGTAATCAGATTGATTTTATTCCTAAGTCTTTTCATATTGACGTAGAGATAAGGAACTTATCTATATTCATCTCATTTTCTGATTTTAAATCTAAAAACATAAGAATCTAATCATTTTAGATGTTGTTCGCCGAACAAGTCCGAATTATATCTACATTATGTCTAACTGTATTTGGATGTACAGGAAATATTTTAACATTAATTATTCTTAATCAACGTTTCTTTCGTAAAACACCATCAGCTATATTAATTTCAGCTTTATGTATTGCTGATTGTATTGTACTCTGTTTACAGAGTTTAAAAATTGTAGCAAAAGTTTATTTCCCAATAACATCGTATGATTGTATTGTTTTCTTCTGTTTGGATGTGTCTCGTTTTATGTCTGTTTGGATTGTTTGTTTTATAAATCTGGAACGTTGTTCACTTGTATTTAATCCATGTCATATACCACGCTTAACCAGTCGAATTAAATCATGCCTATTTGTTATGATATTATTTACTATATCGCTACTTATATTTAGTCATTATGTTGTACATTTGAATATGGAATATACTTATGATTCTAATGAAACAAGTATTATTCACTCAGTTTGTACATACAAACCAGGTTTTAATCGTGTAGCATGGGAATTTTTACGATCGGCTTCCACATATTGGTTAACAGTTCCAATTTGTATTATTTGTAATATTATTATAATAAAATGTCTTTTTCAAGCATCACGTATTGAACGTACATTAAATAATGATTTAACATATTCATTAAATTTATCAAGTAAACAACGTCAATTAACAGCAATGCTTGTTACATCATCCGTATGTTTTGTTTTGACAGCAACACCTTCAACAGTACATGCAATTTATTTAGCCATATCAGAAAATACTAGTCTCCGTCAATATATTATATATATATATATAAATATTCTTCTTCATTTTCATCATGCAGTGAATTTTTTAGCTTTCGTTTTTTCATGTGCACGTTTTCGTGCTGAATTAATTGGATTATTTCATAATTATTTATGTCGTCGAATTTTTAGAAATTGGTATAGACGTGCAGCACCAAGTACTGAACAAATGTATATGTATTCAACAAGACAACAAAAAACACCAATAAAATTATTTACACCAAAAGCACATCCACATAAACGAATTCATCACAATGGAATAGTTATACTTGCAGCAAATAATTATAATAATAAAATGGGACGAATTTATTAACATTAAATATAAACTTATTTTAAAATAGAATTTTTATTCTTTTTTAATTTTCTTTATAATTAAAAATAAAAAATTAAAATTTTGTTGTAATTACGTCTATTTGTAAATACGTCATATAAAAGTTTCTTATTTGTGTAATTAGAATTTTTTTCAAACTGTATATAACATTCTGCTTGTACTTGATGTCAAAGAGTACTTTAGCATTATGTTTTTTTAACATTGAAGTTTTAATAAATAAGCGTAGTAAAAACAATAAAAAGTATAACAGAGTGATGGATTTCCTTTGCTTATTGACGACATATTGAAGTACTTAGGACACACCAAAAGTAATAGTAGCTCTCTAATACCGTACGAAAGACCCGAAGAAACTCTCTCTCTCTCTCTCTCTCTGTATATTTATACTGATAATCCAAACATTGCTTTAGACTTCTATATTGTTTCTTCCTTTTCCGTTGATATGATAATATTAAATTGCGATGAAATCTGTTTTCGATGAATCAGATGGATAAGGAAAACTTCTACTTCTACATGTAAGTCCGTACTGCACTATACTTTGTTTTCGGCAACTAGACTTTACATAAGAGACTACGTAGTTGAAAGATGATATAAATGGTTTCCTGAAGATTTTGAAGATGAAGAACGATACAATGAGTCGGTAACCGAACAAAATCTGAAAAGATCGAATAGATCCATTGCCTGGTTAATGGTGACTCTCAATTTAAAATTGATGAATGGCAAGTACAAACTGATTTGAGTCAGTTTACACCATCTAAAGAATAATATTCGATTCTCGCGAACTTTAAAGAATTGCTACTCATTATATACCGAAACAGATGACCCTGAGGTGATTATGAAAGATATGATCTCAATTACAGATTTTATAGGTCTTTCTGCAGCTTTAATCTCTTCTCAGTCTTCATAAAGCCATTCATTTAATCTTTCAACTGTTAGGACACATGCAGCCTGGTCGCCGAAAACAGAATATAGTGCAGGATGGACTTCAATGTAGAAGCGTAAGTTTTCCTCATCCATCTTATTCATAGGGATATAGCTTTCATCGAAATTCTTATGTTATCATATAACAACTGAAGAATGATAGAATAATATAGAACTCTAGAGTGTTGTTTGGATTATCCGTATATATACATATACAGAGAGAGAGAGAGAGAAAGAGAATTTTCTCGGATTGCCTATAAAGTATTATAGAGTTACAGTTACTACTTTTGGTAGGCCCAAAGTAATTTATTTTTGAAGAGAAAAATAAGATAATTCTTTTGTGTTTAGTACACTGAAATAAACTGTCAGCAATTCAGGAACCGTTTTTCAACACAAATTATGATAAGTGTAATGAAACTATTCTTGTACAACATTGGTGTTATTCTACAGTATATTGATATGAATTATGCTAAAAGTTTTTTTTACCTGTAGCAAAAATTATGAAGAGTTTACCCTTATTTTTGCTATATTCATACAATAACAATGAACCTATTTCTATTCAAATATATCATCGTAAAATCCTAGGAACGAGGTACAAATATCATGTACTAAATTATGCTGACAAATCGCTGAGATGCTGCGAGGCTCATAGAGTTTTAGACAATAAAACAAAAATTGAAACGATAACTAAATAACAATAGTACAGTTTCAATCGAATTTTTTTATCGAGGCAAAGTTATTTTTCAGAAAACTTGACTAAAGGTTTTCGACGTTGAAAAATCGAAATCTATAGATGATTTTGTCAAAATTTTTGAGTTCATTTGTTTCGATCAGAGCTGATCTACTCCGGGATAATAGTTGAATTTTTATAAAACTTGACGAACGAGAGAACCCATGCGATTGATAGTCTTCCTTTGGAGCTCATATTTTCCATATAGTATAGTACTTATGATGTCCTAAAAGTTTCAGTTCAAACTCATGATTTTTTCTTAAGACATCATATACTTAAAAACTGGGTTATTTTTTGAATTCTTATGTGTAAGTAACGTTTTATGATTAAGTAGAATCTCTGATCGAAACTTCAGTAAAATGACTATAACTCGAGAAGAAATACCTAGTGACACGAACCATCTTAGGAATTTTTATCTGCACTCTGACTCCTACCTATGAACAAAACATGAACTCAAATGGAGATTATCGATCAGATGGGTTCTCTTGTAAATGACGAAACATAGATGCTTAGCCAGGGATATACTCGAAAATTTCTATCAACCGCATCTAGATTCGAATTTTTTGGTCATGAAAATCTCAATTCAAGTTTTATGAAAAACTTTTTTTGTTGAAAAATAACTTTATCTCGATCCAAGAAACCAAATTCACATAGTAGTATTACATACATCTTCACCCACCTGACCATCTTATATGCTATATAATGCTGCAAAGGTTCTTTGGTGTTGAATATTTCACTGGAAGACTTTCTCCATTGTTTCTGATCAAGGCTTGTATTACCAAATTATTTTCTATGAAAAGAAATGTTATATCCTTATCTCCGATTGATGACCTGACCTTTTTATCACGAGCTGCTGTCAACACCTAATAAGCACAACATCTGAGCACTAAATTCTTTATAAGGTAGTAGAGTTTCAAACCTATCCTCTTCCTTTGGTAAAAGGCTTCCTTAACCTTGACAATTTAAATGACATACTTTATTCTTATTTATTTCTGTCAATGAATAATTTGAAAAATAAACATAAAAATAAAAACATTTACTGCAAGAACTGATTTCATTCCGATAAATAGTCACAAGATAACAAAATAATCACATATTGATAAAAAAAAGCCTGAATAAAAAAAATGTAACTTAATTCCCTACCCTTTCCAAGTTGACATTTGTCGTTAAAATACAAAAAAAAAGACATTTGAAGCAATTTTATGCAAACGAAACGTCTGCAATTCAATCTTAAAAGAATAATGACTTTCGGTTCATCGATCAGACAGTAGAACAAATTCAATATTTTCAATCATTACGGAGTTTTCTCTTGTATTGACTATAAAATATGACGAAAATCATGTATGTGCATGATTCATCAATAATCTGAGTTATGTTTATGTTAATTGTTTTTTATTTTCTATTCGAACTTGAAGAAAATCTTTCTTCCGTTTTGTATAGACTTAAAAACTTAATTCATGTGTAAATACAAGTTTTAATATTACCATATTTATTTATTGATTTTTTTATTCAATAGCTATAGTATTATTTTTATTCAAGCTATTTCTTTATGATGATAAGTGGCAAAAAATAAGCGCATTGCCGATAATACTCTTCTCTATATATGTCTTTTAATGACAACAGGTGCACAGTTTTTCTTTTTTTATCGAGTGATATTCATACTATTGCCTCTATAACAACGAAAAGGACGGTGAAAAAAAATAACCGAAAAATCACATGACGAGCAAAAATGACGGCGGATAAGAATGATAAATTTTCTTTTACTGCTTGTCTATTCGATTTTTGGTCATGGTTCGTTGCATTTTAATTTCGATCGACAACATATTCATCTATTTTTAGTTTAATAAAAACAATGAAAGCGCATCATAGCGATCATCGTTTACATGAATCTTATTCATTAAATCTTATATTTAATGATAATCGAAAAGAAGATGATACAAAATCTTGTGTAAATTTAAATTTTCAACAAAATTCAAATACATCAAATTATCGACGTACATCAATAAGACGTTTAACAAATGTTATTAATAATCATAGTATTTCAACTGGTCATGGATTAATTATAAATGGTTCATTATTTGATGGACAATTATTTCAACCATCACGTTCATCATATATACTTGATTATCGTGATACACCACATGATCTGAATCAATTTCTTGAAGGTCATAATATGACATTAAACTCATCACATTTAGATGTACATTTATTTAAACTTTCATTTATAATGACATTATCTGAATGGAATGTTGATAAAGAACTTCTATTAGATTATTGTCCACGTGATGATAATGAAATAAATATAATTGAAGAACTTTCATATTATAAAAAATTTTGTTTTCCAGAATTAAATTCTAAAGAAAAAAATCAAGGAACTCTATTTAATGATTCGTCAACATATATTTTTACACGAACAAATTCAAAAGGCAAAGTTGAATATGGTTATTGTCGACGAGTAATGACTCATGATGATAATCATATAGCAAAATTACCGATTGTTATTTGTATAGGTTTGTATTCATTTTTTTCTTTGTAAAAAAATGATTTTTGTTATAGATTTTCATTATTTTTAGTTTCGACTTATTCATATTTTAAACTTTATGATGCTATGCTTAATGAATTAACTTCAGGTAAAATGAAATCACGTGAAAATATTAAAATCAAATAGAATAGATAATTTTCTACTCGTATTGTAATGTTACTTAAATCTTCATCAGTCCATGATTTTAATTTGCTTCAGTTTATTAAAAAAAAAAGAGTTTTTATGATTATGAATTTCTTTATAAATTTTATTATATATTAAATCCTTAATGTTTTTTGATCTTAAAATCAAATCTCAAATTTTTTATTAATTATTTTCGAAATCAAAGACATTTCAATTAATTAAATACTTTTTTTTATTTCTATTCAAAAACAGATAGCTTGTCGATTGTAATCATAATTAATTGCCATGTTTTTTTATTTTTAACCCTTCGGGATGATTGCGTAATAAGTGACCTATTTAAGGTGTTCACTTATTACATAGTCAGTTTGATAGGATAAGAGATACTAAAAGTTGCAACGATGATTATTGTATATCAATAAAGACAAAGATTTCAAGGACAGATATCATAGAAAAATAGACTACTTGATTAAATTGTTCATTATAAAATAAGATGTACCATTAGATACGTCAAGGTTTATGAAGGCTGAATATAAGTTGTGCATAATGTGAAGCAGTTATTAGAGAGCTCTAGAAGATGCCTCATCTTTTTAGTAAAAATATATAGGGTAAGGTTTCCCTGGTACCTTATATCCTGTCTGAGACAACTATTGATATTCTTACTATATCATATGGCGTTTATTTTTGTATTCTCTCTCTTAATCCTATCCTAGCTGGAAGATTCTAATAGCAATGAAATAGTAATATAATATTAGGTTTCTCTGCTTTATTTTATTTTTCATGACAAAGTATTAAAGTATACTATTTTTGAAACTTTTAATGAAAAACATATCATCAACAATATCATTACTAAGACTCTATCATGTATTCTTCGAGAATTTTTCCAGTTGCATTGAATATTTTTTTTTGTTGGTACATAAATTAATTGCTATACTTACCCAGTAATGATCTAACTATAATACTAACGAAAGAACGTTTCTAAGTATCACATCGCTTCTAAGTTGGGACTATATGCATCATGTAGGATTCCAATAATCTATGAATGTTCTGAAAAGGGTTCGGGCAAATAGTTTAATATTGCCCAGACATTGTGTTTTTTTAGCTGAATGCCGTAGTCTCGTTGAGAAGAACTAGTTTTTTTTAATTCAATTTGAAATTTTGCACTAAGTTAGGTCTTAACGAGAATAGCTTATTATGAAAGTTTTAGTTTTTTGATTGCGACTATAGTGAAATAAGAACATCGAAATTTTCCATTGTATATGAGCAGTTTGAAAATTAGGCTTTTATTATAACCCTATTTTAGGATAGAAGCAATCGAAATATCTAAAACTTTTACAATAAACTATTCTCATTAAGATTAGTCTCTATGTAAAGTTTCAAGTCGAAATTCAAGACTCAGCTTTCCTAGTGTTCCCGAAGGGAACCACGACATTCTGATAAAAAAAATACAATATTTTGGCAGCAATAAGCTACTGCCCCGAACTCTCTTCCGAGTATTCGTAACTTGTTAGAACCTATATGATGCTCACAGTTCCGACTCAAAAGCAATTTGACTCTTTGAAATGATGCCTCGTAAATTTTGGAAATGTTATTACTTATATTCTTCCACTAGCTAAATACAGATTTTTGATTATTAATGATTAATTTTGCTTTAACATAATCAATTTCATCATCACTTTCTTCTTCACTAGATTCAGATTAGAAGTGTACAGAATAAACTTCTTTCGCATCCTGTATCCTGCTTTTAGAGCCCGTCAACTTCAAAACTTTCGGATCCCAACCTAAGTCTGACCGGATACCTGTATGAAAAAACCTTTCCTACCCTTACTATACACACTTCTATTTTATAGATTTAGGCTTTCATAAAATTCATCTTAATCACAGATAATTCAATCGATAGAAAAAATAAATTGATTCTTTCTTTTTTTTCTATTTCTAGCCTACATATCAAATGATCTCGAATGTGGTCTATTAATACAATCATTCTATTCAAAACCATTACCTGTACCAACTTCTAATTCGTCAGGTATTGTTTGTATACTCAATGATCGTCGTTTATTTTTCTATGTTTGTCCAACTGATGAACGTCTTAATCATGATTATTTTTCTACTTTACTTTCTTGTCTATCACCAACTAATATAACTCATTTATTTGAATCAATGTTGTGTTCAAAACGAATTTTATGTTTTTCAAATTCACCTTCAAAATTAACTAAATGTTGTCTTGCTCTCTCATTTTTAATGTATCCATTTATATGGCCATATCCATTTGTGTCACTTATGCCATCATCATGGTTACATGATTTACTTGAGTCTCCATGTCCATATATATATGGTTGTTTATATGAAACAATGCAACAAATACCATCAACAATAGAAAAAGATTCAATACGTGTTGATCTTGATTTAAATACAATTGAGATGGATACTGGTGATAATATTATTTTACCACTTGATCTTCGACAAATATTACAAGCATCACTTGAATATATAATAAGATTTCGTTTAGTTAAATCAAATTCAACTTTAGTTCATATAGCTGTTAGTGAAGCATGTTTACATGTATTTACGGAATTGTTTTATAGTTTACCAACTTATTTTACACGTCATGAAACTTCTGTTAAATTAACAGATAATGAACAAAAATCACCTAGTAGTCCAAAATCATTTAAACGTAATGATAGTGGAATAGATGTTCAATCAGTTGTATCAAATGATGTACAACACGAATCAAGGAAAAATGAACATAAAAAAGAAAAAAATCGTCTTGGTTATGATTTTCGATCGGATGATTTTCTTATTTCACAACCAACATCAGGTTACGTTGCATTCCTTAATGATTTTATTCATGGTAGGTAGAAGATGTTTGTTGTTTTAATTATTAAGCCTTACCTGTGAATTTGACTACTAAAGTTCAAGACAATTTTTGTATTTTATCGATCATGTCGGTATCAAAAAACAGAAATAATATTCAAAAATATAACATCAAATGCAATATTGAATGAGGACTATATTTTAGTATAAAAATTATTAGTTATAGTAATTTAATATTTGTTAATTAATAACTAGAAACATGTTTTGTTTATGAACTTTGATCTTCAATTATACTATTATGAAAAAGATTGAAAACTGAATAAAATTGTGTATTTTTGTTTTGTGAGAACTCTTTAAAATACGGTTTTCTAAATACTAATTTAAATTGAATTAATACTCTATTAATAGTTAAGAAAAGTGAGCCGTAAGCTTAGATTTCGGAAGTTTAAAAAAAGGTGTTAGCGCAATCTTTGTAGGATCAAAATGTGAAACATTATGTGGCTATTGTTACTAACCAGATGGAGATCGTTTCATTCTATACATTATGAAAGACATTTTTTCAACCTCGTTTTACTTAATTCTCCAAAAATGCAATAAGAAAGTACTTAATATGTTGCAACAAGCTGTTATTAGTATGCAGTCTGTGATGAATTGCCAGAGCACAGTGAACATTTCTTGAAAAACTGAAAGTGATAGTTATTGCGATGAAAATAATATTCAATATACTTAGGCCAATAGTAGACTTTTTTATTTAAAAAAATTATTCTAGCTATTTAAGAGTTTCGGATAATTCTAAATCCAAAAAATGGCTAAGTGTCTATCATCTTACAGGAAAGTATCATTTTCCAAACAAGATAGAAAAACCTACGGAAAAAGTCGTGTAGATTCTTCAAGTAGAGCTCTTGTACTATCGTCCTATATGCAAAACTTTGTTTTAAAAGTTTTATTGGAAAAAACAAGCATGCTTTTTCAACTAAGGCTTTTCCAAAACGACGTGTTCAGTGTAGTCGGTGCTCACACTTTAGCATGGTTCTAAAGTGTATGAAACTTTCATAGAATGTTTTCTTTTCATCTGATACCTCTACTCAGTTAGCATAAAGACGTATAAATGCTTCTGGACTGAGATAAAAGTTTGCTTTAAAAAAAAAACATTGATTTTCAAAGATTTTCTGCATTGTTTTGATTTTAAGGAAGAAATAAGGATATATTCGGAATCAGTACGAAAAACTATTGAATAGTATAACATTCGTTAATTTTTAAACTAAAAATTTTTTTCGATAAAAGTTTAAGGTATCAGTTCCTTTATGCATTTTACATCGAACATTTTCTTTTATGAATTTCACTTTATTGCAGCTATTACAAAAACAAAAATACACAATTTTATTCAATTTTCAATGCTCTTTATAACAGTATACTTGAAGTCACTCTTCTTAGATCTCACATTCAATAGAATAGAAGAAAGGTAGAGCATAGAATTCTGTATGTTTCTTATTATTTATTTTATTCTTTGTTGAATGCAAGAAAAAAATATATTTCAGGCACTAAATAGTTTTATGGTGGGTCTATGACTATCCGATATTTCGAAGAGTAACTATGGTATTTGCAATTTTTCTATTATAAATTCAATATAAAAATTAATAGCATAGATTGATGTAGTTTTTCATGGTCCACAAAATGATATATCGGTCATGTTAATCGATTAGCTTATGTAAAGTCAGACAGGTATGATATCATACCTGTCTGATTCTACATAAACTAATCGATGAACATGAACGATATATCATTTTGTGGACCATGAAAAACTACATCAACCTATGCTATTAATTTTCATTTTGAGTTTATGACAGAAAAGTTACGAGTACTATAGTTATTGTTTGAAATATTGAAATGTGATAAACTCACCCTAAAACTATTTAGTACACGAAAAATATTTTTTTTTTCTTGCATTCACCAAAAAAACAAAAATAAATAATTAGATACATGCAGAATTCTATGCTCTATCTTTCTATTCTATTGAAAATAAGACCTAAGAAGGGTACCAAATTTGTGACCTTTTCCTGTGGTATCGTCCTTTATCACGAATAAGAGGTCGTTTGTAGTTTTGCAAAAAATAACTAATTTTAAGGTTTTGCATTTGTATAGTAGAAATGTAGGAAGTGAAAATAATGAAAAGCTTGTCTGAATGATTTTAACTAACAATACCATTTGATTAATGTCAAGGTTTCGAATAGAACGCTTCCACTCGTTTAATAGTACGAATCAAAACAATTAGTCTTAAGCAGATCGTTTTTTATATTGATTTGAGGATGATTTAAAAGCAATTGACAAAATCTGTTTTAATATGCCAAACATAAATACATCATTTCTGTTATATTAAATTGTTTTTTAAAATTAAAACATAGATCGTTTTACAATTATTTGAAGTAAAAAAGGAAGAGAAAAAAGGAAAATGTAGAATTTGTTTTTAGGAATGATTTTTCTTAAATTCCTTGATGATTATCAACGTGTTGACAACAATTCTGTACAATCATTTTCATTATTTTCTCAACGTTTAAATGAACGACGTCGAATGACATGTGATGAATTATTAATAAATCCGGTTGTACGATTTCGACAAACATTTGATTTATTAGAAAAACAAATGAAGAATTCATCAAAATCAACGAATCCATTAATAACGAAAATTGTAAAAAAACTTTTTGAATAAACCACTTTATATATTTATAATGTCAAGTCTTAATTGATTTCTTTTTTTTTTCCTTTGTTTAATAAATATGTATTACTACTATTATTAAATACATGCGTAGGTTTTAGTGAGTATTAACAGGTTACCGTCGGGAAAAAAATGAACATGACATTATGCAGACTCATATGTTCATTTAATTAAGAACCAAAATTTTTTGTTTAGATGCTGTCAATTTTAGATAAAACAAGTGCTTGTTTCTGGTTCAAATATTACCTGTATATTAAAGAGTAAACGGAACTTGTCTTTATACGATTGACACAATCTTGTGTCGTTTTTTTTTCTTTCTTTTTCGTTTCCTTGATGGCAAAAAAAAGGACAATCATCCTGATTAACACATTGATCGAACGTTATTTCTCATTTTCTTTTTTCTTGTCTCTGTCGCCTTTCAATGTTTACATAAAGCAGTGAGTAATAGTTTTAAGAAAGAAAAAGACTTCTGTTCTTTCTATCGATCGATTGATTGTTAGACATCAGCTTCGATCAACTAGTACGTTCAATCATTAATAAATTTCAATTCAACGTCTTTCGGTACCTCGAGACCCTCTTTGTCTCTTTTAGCTCTGTATGACTTGCACTACCGTCACAAGATACAAGCTACGAACGACGATTAGTGAGTAGGAGTAGGAAAGAACAGAGAGAAAGAAAAAGAGAGAGAGAGAGAGAGAACAAAAAATCGATTAAAGAAAAAACTATGTTAGGAAAGACATACATAGATCGAGCACCTAATTGTCCGTTCATTTTTAATCAAGGACGTTATTTATATATATGTAGACAGCTAAAAGAATGAAGTTAAAAACCAGATAGTCATTATTTACTATTGTTATTATCAAAAAAAAAAAAGTAGTAAGATGATTTTATTGACATAAGTATGAGGTAAGATGAGAGAAGAAGAAATTAACAAAAGGAGATCAGATCTTATTTTTCTTTTAAATTCTCATTTGAGAAAAGAAAAGTACCTTAGATAATATGATAATGATTCAAATCTTTTTTTGTAATGGACTATCAATGACAGTTTGAATAGTATTGATTAATTGACTTTAAAATAAATTGTTAGTCATTTATCTTGTATTTTATATTAAACTCTAATGACTTGTGAAATAATATTACTAATAAAATTTGCATAAGACATTAGTTGAAAACAATCAAATCTAATCTAGATTTTCTAAGAAATAATGTCAAGTCGTTTATTATTCTTGAAAAAAAATCTAGAAAAGTAACTTATCAGTGTTTAATGCATCAGTGCCCTAAGGTGTGCGTGCACACTCCCAATTGATGAATTTTCTTCCATTTAGATCAGATTTTTTTTTCTTCTCTTTTTCTTCTTATTTTTACTAGTTAATATAAATGTTTTAGAATATTAGTCCTCATTTCTACTCCGCATCTCTTTTCAATATTTGGAATTTGTTTTTTTCTTTATAAATAGATATTTTGCTTATACAGTTTACGGTTAATGTTTATTGTCGTGAACTATCAGTAGCCATCAAATCACGTCGTTTACGTCCAACAAGATAAGAGGCACGTTTACCAACCAAATATGTACCACGTTTGCCCACCAAATAGGATGCTCGTTTTGCTGCTGATACATCTTCGTCTAGAAAAATAAAATAAATTTAACTTTATAAGAANGCTCTTTTTCTTCTTATTTTTACTAGTTAATATAAATGTTTTAGAATATTAGTCCTCATTTCTACTCCGCATCTCTTTTCAATATTTGGAATTTGTTTTTTTCTTTATCGATCTATATTAATATTTTGAAATTTAAAACACCAAACATGCATTATCAATCATTGATCGCATATATATTTGTCGTACTTTTTGCTATGACAATAGTTTTGGCTCAAGCTAATAAAGAACGCGAACAATTTGCTGACCTATTACAAAAACGAAAACATCTTAATGGTTATTGGGTAGGAAAACGATATATAATTGCATCTGATGAAGATCCATTACTCGACAGTGGTAAATATAAATTTAAACATTTCATTCTTATAAAGTTAAATTTATTTTATTTTTCTAGACGAAGATGTATCAGCAGCAAAACGAGCATCCTATTTGGTGGGCAAACGTGGTACATATTTGGTTGGTAAACGTGCCTCTTATCTTGTTGGACGTAAACGACGTGATTTGATGGCTACTGATAGTTCACGACAATAAACATTAACCGTAAACTGTATAAGCAAAATATCTATTTATAAAGAAAAAAAGTCTTTTCTTGAATCTATTGCTCAACAGCATTAGAAACAATAAAAGAATTTATTTTTGCCTCCCTACTGATTTCTAATTTATACAATTCAACTATGAAAAAAAAATCATATTACGTAAGATTCTCATTGTCAATAGTAGATCTAACATTGTTTCATATAAAACAATAATAAATTAAGTCTGACATTTTAATGTAAACTGTATTTATCCATAACAATATCTATGCAAATTCGATCGCTCTCAAGGGAAATAAATGTCTTGAAGATTAAATCAAGATAAATCGGTATTTTGACAGTAATAAATCCAAGACGATAGATCTAATCTATGTCTTTGAAAAAAAATAGATTTATTCGATTAGTTTTAATAATGTTCAATGTACTTTGTATTTCAATCATTTTTCCAGATATTTATTCAATTATTAAATTGCTTAATATAATGCGTTATGCTCGAAAGTCTAAGTAAACAAAAGACATAGATTAAAAACAAAACTAAATTTATCTATCAGTTTTTAATAGAATCATTTTTTAAAGCATTATGTATCCATAAGAAACAATATAAATATTTTGAATTTATAATCGTTGTAAATTGTAATATTACTTATGATCAAACAAACAAATTAGCAAAGACGTACAGTGTTACCCTTCTTCAACTTTGATTTTTTTTTTTGTTTTTATATATGCGAATACTTACATTTAAATATGCATATTATACAGATGTAGTATTCCCTATACAATTCACAGAATACAATTTGCAATTCGATTGATCAACTGCATGTTATCATTCTTTGTTTTTACTACTTCAATTTTTTTTTCTTCTTTTTCAAGAATTAAAGATAAAATGTTGTGAATTCGAATTTTTCTTCTTTTATATGTTTTAAGTTAATGCACCATGTGAATAAGTTATATCTTTTATTGTAAATGTCATTGTGAATTTCTATATTTGTTTGATAGAAAAAGACATTTCAATAATGGTGTATAAATATTTTATATTCATTTATTTCGATTATATCGAATGGATAAATATATGTCGATAAAATGTGCTCTTCATAGGATATTTTAGCAAAATTTTACTTTGCAGAAATTTCTCATATCAATAATTAAAGAAAAACTAATATATCAAAATTTCGAACTAATATATTTGTTAATCAATTGATCAGATAATTCTAATCATGTCTTGGAAAATTTATTCAAAACTATTACTTCCCGCTTAAAAAAGATTTAAATGTATCAGAATTTAGCCAAAAAAAGAAGAACAAGGATTTCATTATACAACACATCGACGCATTCTTAATTTCAACGAAAATTTTTGACTGTAAGTCTTCAAGTCACTCTGAAGATACAAGATACGTTTTTGTCGATTATTTGTATTTTGCTACTAACACATCCTACACATTTCTCAAATAATCTTGACAAGTCAAGCTATAATTGGCTGCTACTTTTATAGTCTGATCCATGGTGTGTGAGTCCCGAAATCTGACGAGCTTTGATTGTAAAAGACATATATTTTTATTTATTTTCACTCTCTTGTTCATAGTATTATCAGATAATTTTCCATTATAGAAACACATCGCAGTATCATTCGAACGATAAAAAAAAAACACTTAAAATTTTACACATAGAAAAATGGTTTTCTTTTCATCTGTTCAAATCGATATAGAATAAGATCATACAAATATTGAAGAGAAAGAAAATTAATTAATTAATTAAACCATCGAATTCGGACGTTTAGCTCCATAATTGAATTTATTTGATGATTTATTTCTCATCATAACCATTGAATCTGTTGACAAAGATGGTAAGGATTCAATAAGTGTCGATGGTACACTTTTAATTGTACATATTGGTGTAATCGAAGTTTTTTTATCGATTGTTGTTAGTTGACCATCATTTAATTTACTTCGAAATGTTTTACTAGAAAAAACAAAAAAAAAAAAAACAGAATCTAATTGAAAAAAGAAATATTTCTTTTTTCTTTTTACTGTGCTGCTAATATTCCTTCATAAATAACTAATTGATTTCGAAATCCACCATTTGGATTTATACATGATCGTCGTTTTTTTACATGTTCCAAAGCATCAGCTAATGAATGATTATTTTCTTTCATTAGATATGCTAATACCTAATTTAATAAATCAAACAAAAAATAATATAATTATTCAATTGAAATCATTTACCGTTGAAGCAGATCGACTAATACCCATCTTACAATGAACTAAACAACATTGATTATTTGCTCTAATAAAAACCAAATAACGAATGAAAAATGATTCGAAAAATAAAAATTAATCGAAATATACTTTGCTTCATTTATAAATCGAAATGTTCTTTCCCATTCTTTTAATAAATCTGCATCGTCATGATCATGAACACGAACATTTAAATATTTAAAATGTCCAGGAAAAAAATTATCTATTTCACGTGAAACATTTAATACATAACCAATATTATTTGATTTTAATTCGTCAAAATTTGATGCATTCCATTCGGAACCAAGATAAAGATGTGGTAAAATCATTGTTGGTTTATCCATTTGTGCAAGTATTTGAAGCATTTCATCATCAATATATTGTTTAAATGAAGATAATGACATTTCAAATGCATTTTCTAATTGTTCATGTAACTACAAAACAAAAAACAATAATTTGGATATATATGTTAGTGTTCGATACAATCAGAAAATCCTTCCAAGTGTTGAATAACTTTTCAACTGAGACAATGTTCATTTGATGAGTACTAGTAAGTAATACAAAAGTTCAGAATGATTTAATTTCTTGAACCTTTATTCTCGAAATATCAAAATTTTACTTGGTTTTTTCAACAAAAAAAGCTGTGATCTCCGTCAGGTCATATAAAAAAATTGACTTTCGAGTTTTGACTTCAAACTTTGCATGAACAAACTTTTCATTGAGATAAATTCATTGGACAAGTTATAACTTTTTTAGTATATCACACCCTCAATTAACTGATCTTATTAAGAATTTTGTTCCTGCAACGTTCGAATTCGAAAGTCAATTTTTTTACGTGACCTGAGAGGAACCACAGCGTTTTGTTGAAAAATCTAGTAAGGTTTCAATATCTCGAGAACGAAGGCTTTGAAAACCAAACAATTCTAGAATTCTCTATTACTCACTAGCACTCACCAAATGAACATCGTCTCGGTTGAGAAGCGATTTGACACTTGGAGATATTTCCTCGTCAGATTCGCCTATGATAATCTCGAATCTAAAATTGAACGTGTTGAACCTAAATCTGACACTGGACAGACATTAACTTAGGCAATTCTCAGATTGATCTAGACCAATGACGGATTGAAAGTTCAATACAGATAATCGCAAGTTAGAGTCTAAATATATTGATTCTGTGTGCATTTCCTTGTTCAGTTCAAAGAATGTATTGAATAAGAAGTGGAATAGAAAATGTGGATGAAATTGAATTGCTGCTTATATGAAAGCAAACTTCGAAACGGATGGCAAAGTTCCTTTTTTTTTTGAATCAGCCGTTTTATTACTGTTATCTAACAGAGTACCTTTATAATTAGAGTGCCATTTTTTGAGAGTTCTTTGACATATTGAATTTTTAATCACTTTTCTTCCTTTAAAAAGTCATGCTTTAATAGTAAAGTTCCGTCATAGTCTGGATCTTGATATGCTCTTTCAAACTAAGCAACAATTTTTACTACATAGGATGAAAGGCCATAGAGAATTTCTGATGGTCAAACAACCATTGTTACTCCTTGTTTGCTGAATGTTTCCGGAAAAACGTCATGGTGTAGGAATGAAAATCCTATCATAGTCTCTTCACTGCAATCCCAAGCTATTCTAACAGTTTCATGTGATTTGAATGTACCTGATCTAAGATTGATCTCGGTCAATCTGAGACTCGTCCATAATTTTCAGACGAATCTTAGATTGGACGTATTGTAAATAGAGACCTACACGAGATTTCGTAAACATTTTCTCATTTTTTTCTTATCTAACATAACCTAATGCAAATTATCTCAAACTTTAGTTTTATTTTGTGGATTCTTTTATGGTACTAATTTAACAGAATCATCTTATTTTTTCATTATATTTAGAATCTCTTCGCATGACAAGATCTTGGCAGTTATGCCAAGTATCTTTCATACATAAAGATATTCAAACACTTAATCAGTTTTTATTTTTCTATTTAAGATCTTTATTATTCGCTCACAATAATACTTTCAAATCAGATATGATTCGTGATAGTACACTTATATCATATCTCTGAACCTGTAAGCTGTCGCTAATATACGAACAGAAAGTTTCTTCGGAGCTGTAAAATTTTGACATTACAGGTATCTAATTGTTACTGATCAATCTGAGAATGATCTGAAATAATATCTGTTCAACGTTCAATCCCTGATTAGACGTTAACATATACAAATATTTATTTAAAGAAAAAGAAAGACCACGAATCAATAACTTACAAATTTTGGTGTTACTTCATCAAGATTAACTTGTAACATAATTTCTTTTAGTTTAACATGTATTCGAGTGCGAAGTGATTCTTCATCTGATGATAATCTAAAACAGAATTCTTATGGTTGTTATTTCGAAAAGAATAAAAGAAAAAAGAAACAATAATATCCATCAAAACATACGGTTGATATAAATGAGGTGAATCACTACGATGTGATAATATATCATCCATTTGATTCCATTCATTAATATAGATTTGATTTGATCGTATATCTATATCACGATAATGATCTAACCAACTATGTGTAAGATCATTATTAGCTATATAATTATAATGACGAGCTTGATTTGATACTTTGTGCAAACTCTGATATGCAGTCCTAGAAATAAAAATTAAAAAAAAATGAATTTTAAATAAATTTGAATGCATACCACAGAGCTTGAACGCTCACCGGCTTGAAAATATAACATTGATCGTATGAAGTTACCTTGAAACCACTAAATAATGAATAAT